TATTTATGGGCAGGGCATAGGTTGTGTGAGACGGGTGCTCTAACAGAGTCTCTCATAGCTAGTAGAACCATCCGTGTCACGTGCCATAAAAACGTTACGCGACAATCGCCGTTTGTGGGTGCCAACGTTAGTCATGCCCCTCGATGTGGGCGGTAAGGCACGAGGATATTTTGACGGTTTTTTTCTAACGTACCAGTTTCCCTTTATATATATAAATCGTTTTGCTGGGTGTGAAAAAGCGATGAAAGACAGTCATAATGAAAATGAAAACGTGGTATAAAATTTGCGATACGTATGGTATCATCGCTAACAAGTGCAACGAAGTGTGCGGTGGTCACAGTCGGTGGAAACATAGGTAATGAAAAAATATAACCAACTTGCTTAAATGTCTAGCAACACAATCAGGTACGTATTGTATACTAGGGTATTGTATACTACAACCTGTCTGCCTCAGTTTGAGGTTGCTGCAGCTGTTAAGGCGCCAATGGTATGAACTCAAGGAAAGATTCCTTTTGGTCGTATAAGACGCGAAGATCGTAAAGCATACATCTTTGCTCATCGATATACAAATCCTTAATGTGTGGTACCGTACTTGGTCTGCTTCCTCTTGATTTTTCAGCTGTTACTAGCTAATCCATTCTGTCTGATAGCATATACTATGTTTACATGGATGTTCTTCCGCGAGCGTGTCGAAGAGGAGGAGATCACCTTATTGGAGTTCTTTGGCGAAGAATACGCAGCCTACCAAAAGCGAGTAGCGACAGGCCTGCCATTCATAAAGGGGTTTAAGATGGAGTTATGATTGATGATCCGGGACGAGGAGGACTCACTCAGGTAAGGGCGTAAGCCGTAGCCTTGTAATAAATGAATATTTCATTCGTAAATACAATAGACATATCTTTCACTGGAGCTCGGATGACGAGGAAACGACAAGAGTTGAAACTATACTGGATTCACTCGGGTAAGGTACGAGGAGACCTTATTGTGAGTTCCTTGAACTATTTTCAAGGGTTAAGGGTACAAACAACGTTATATTAAAAAAAAAAAACAATTTTTATTAACCGTTATGCCGCTCTGAAGATATTATTTCGGTGTGACTAGGATTCATCAGCTGTTGACGTTAAAGACCTGGTTCATTTGTTTACCATTTTGTGATTGATTTTCAGTTTGCCCACATTAGGTCGCTACATCAAGTTTTAGCGGATGACGAGATTTATTACATGGCTTCTTGCACACAGAATCTCACCATTACTTATAGCAAAATCAAAAATCCTAAAGCTTTGAACTCAATCAAATTCACATATGCTAAGTAATAACTCATTGATGTTATTATATATTCAACTGTTTTGTGTTGTTTGCCGTAATTGATTATCTTTACGCGTTATAATAGGCGTCCCCTATACGCTGCATCTTCTTCCTCACCACGTAAGTTTTGACTTTCATGCACCGCCAATGATTTGTATTTGACTGATTTCGCTAATTTGTATTTGTTCGACCATGTTTGTATGTTGTTTGTTTGTTTGTTCCAGATATGAAAATCAAGAACTTCGTTTTTGAACAAATTTTCAGAAATGCGGATTTAGGCCTTTTCCGATTTCTACATCAATGCAATCAAAAATTGTAGAATGTACAGCCCAGATGGAGGGACTATGTGTTCCAGCCTAATCCTATTTACTTCCAATCCTAATACTTTAAACGGCATCGGCTACCGTATTCCTCAGATACAAGTCGTTACGCTCATATATAGTATGCAATTTATGTTACTATAGGGCTAATTGTATAGTTACACTGTAACATGTAGGTAATGGCAAAGAAATATGACATTTATGTAGTAAGTATACAGCATTCACGGCAAAAAAAAAAAAAGATTATCTATAGATATTACTATCGAGTAATAATAATATATTTCAACGATTTACTCAGCTCGATATTCGACATAATCTATCATTGTTATATCGCAGGCACTGCTAACAGCCGCAATAATTGAGTTCGTATCACAGATTTTATCTTGACAAAAACTGGAACGCTCTATTGGTGTTTACTATCATTATATGTATCCAGAGAACGAACGTATTTTAAAGCGAAGCCGTTTCGGCTCTGAAGAACATACGTTGAGAAAAGCCACTGACTGGACTTCTAACGGTTCCTATGGTCGTATCAAATACTTGTTTGACATGTCTATTGATACCGACTGCACGATAGAAATTAGGCTATCCCTATTTTTCTGCTTTTTTTTTTTTGCTGTGAATTTGACCTTCGCTGTTTCAGCAATAGTCTTGGCGTCATATGTTTATGACTACGGGGAAAAAATTGATCCCAGGACGCTTGAATTTTTATAGGTATGATATTAACAGTAATAAGTATATTAGGACACGTATGAATAAAAAGTGTATATTAAATGTGCTAGTAAACTTAAGTGAGAACTTTGAATCACCACTTCTAAGTTTCTTTTGTTTTCATTTAATTACGTTTCGATATATTGTTACATTTTATTTGTTTGATTTGTGCTGCCGGGGTTAAAATGTCTCAGGGTTATAGTATCAGCCGAAATGTTTTTCGTTTTGACATTCAATATACTTACATTTCATTGACTAGATGGTGTAATTGATCTTTACTGAAATAGGACTACAACGAATAAACCCGTAGTATCTGACTGCATTTGACAGAGAAATCCCCGAATGTTGGAATTGAACCCGCGAATTCGAGATAAGAAACCCTTTCGTTTACGGAATGATATAATATAAAGCAGCAGTTATCAGACTGCTAGAATATAAGACGTTGCGAGAACAACGTTATCGTACATACCACATACAATTGTGGCGCAGGAGTAACCATGGAAAATCATTAGATATTCGGTTTTAATCCCACCAGGCACTGTTGAACCTTAGGCAGGCGTATGCCTGGAGATATATGTCTAAGGGGTGGATTAAGTTTATACGTAGAGTCCTTTCTTTAATTGAATAGAATGGAATGGAGTAGGCTAAAATGTGCGTTTTATTGAAATGTATGAAACTCTTAAAAGTACCTGTAATTTGCCGCTGTTATGAATGAAATACAAAACGTCCCTATTTCTCTTTGTAACGAAAGAACATTGGCCAACATTGACGGCTCTGAAGGGACGGACCATTGGTCTCCTTAGACTTGATGAACCGGCTGTTGTAGGATGCTCCAGTTCAAGATTGAGATTGAGCAGTCGCGTGCACCGTTGAAACACATTTACGTTGTGGCAACAATTTCAAGATGTCCTGTTAGTATATTTTGTATGGATAGGATAACTGGACTGGTGGCCTGCGGCTAAAAAATTATGCTGAACATGTTTCAAGCACTTCATCGATCTTCGTCGAAGGAGTTGCCAATCAACGGCAAGCAAAAGCTGTCATTAGAAAAAATGTTTGCTTTAAAACGTCACAAGATTTAAATGTTTCACATTAACACGAAATCTTCATTTTCCCAAACTACTTCAGAAAAGTCTTCCGAATTATGGTTAAATAGATAACTGTAGTAAATTCAACTAATCGGCATCAGTGTATAAATTTCTTGGGACATCCTATATATATATGTATATTTATAGTTTTTTATCCTTATATATCATGTTATAAATATCCATCTACTAAACTCGTCTCAAGGATTTAAGTAAACACCATCACGAGGATGGAAATACACATATATATATACGTCAATTGTTGTCAGTCAGATTCAGAATACGATATTATGCCAGTAGCATTTAGTCTCGATCTGAAATTAGCTGTCCGGATTAAGAGAGCATGATTAGCGCATAGATTGGTGCGGCGTTGTTTTCTGTAGAGCAAACATGTCCGGTATGACTGCTAAGCTCACTGCTACAGCAGGTTGCCCTTTCGCACTCGTAAACATGCTCCAGCCTTTTTGTTTCATTGTACTTAACCGGGTTCACGCAGTCTACCTCTAACCTCTCCTTTTTTTTAAGCGACCGAATGTCCTTTTCACCCCTCCTTAAATTAAAAGAGTAGGAAGTAGCGTCCGGTCCAGCTTAACATAAAATCCTTCTTGCCGACGAACGTGCGGTATGGCTACTCGAGTTGCCATCGTGGAGGTTACTCAGTTTCGGTCTGAGAATATGTTCGGGGCATCCAGGCTATAGCAAAAGAGATTGTGGCCATGATAGATTAAGCGAAAACTTGTTTAGTAGTGAAAAACGGTGGAAAAAACGTCGATATCAAGCGCCCCCTGTCAGAGACTAGGAGGCAGGCATTCCTACACGACTTTAGCAATTCATGAAATAAGCGAGTTGTTCGAAGCGAGGTCTTGTCTGTTTTTTGGGGGGTCAAAAAGAAAATTCACTTTAAAAGCATTGCAGGCAAAAAGGTAACGCGTTTAGCGTGTACACCGTTCTGGGTTAATCAAAAGTTCGAGGCTTGTGCACGTAATGGACGGAACGAGCATCCCGTAGCGGCAATGCTAGAGGTAACACTGGCGATTCACCAAGGCCCACATTATGTTACATTGCGCGTACTTGTCACATCGTGAAGGTCTTCTTGTTCAAAGCGCACCGTGAAGAAGTGAAGTATTTACTACAGCTAATGGAAGCTCAGTAAGTCATCCTATTCATGTGCGTGTGTGTGTATGTGTATTTAATGCAGTACACGGTCCCCTGATAAAAAGTGCTTGGTTACCAACTAAGAGCTTAGAGGAGATCGGCTGGGCTAACAACCCATAGGACGGAGCTCTGTACTGTGTTCGAATATTGACTGGGAACAGGGTGAGAGTGGTGGAGATAGCAACTCATTACTAGAAGACGCTAGCCAAGTGAGTGGCGCAACGCCGCTACTGATGGGTCTGCGTTCTCCTAACGCCGTTCACCTCTTTTTCTTTCTTTCGCTCTGTTCTCTTAGTTTTCTCATTTGCCCTTTAGAGCAGTAGGACTGCTTCCCAAATTGCCACTTTGTCCCTACGTCCGAAAGCAGTGTTGGGCAAGGGGAAAAGAAGGGCTACACGTCTTTACTTATGTGGAGTCGGACGGGATTGACCGGCAGGCTCACCAGCCAGACGGCGAGCAAAAGGGTGAGACGATAAAAGTAAGGGGGTTACAAGAAGAAGTTGACGGGCCGAATACAGGGAAGATGGCTGCGGAGGAGCCGTGGACTGAACAGGGCACCCCATCTGAACTCTGCGCTCCGTCCACGCTGGAGTTGGGACAGCAGAGGTGGCAGACGTCACATTCCTTATTAGATTTTGCCTTGGGCGCTGGTACCTCGCAATGCGCCTTCCCGTCTATTTGGCTGCGATTCGATGCTATTTCTGAGCACAATCAATATGCGCGGCTTCTCGGGAAAGCACTGGCGGCCACAAACATTTTGTACTTCAGACGGAACATCCTCCTGTTCGTGCCCCAATAGCCCTGGCGTTTCAAATAAGCTCTATGCATTACGTTCGCACACGCGGAGCCTGGCTTTTTGGCCTTCAGTATGAGTGGCACTACTGCTGCAAGCCTAACCCTATTCCCTCAAAAAGCGCTGAAGCAGCAATGTCTTCGCGTCATGTTTGCTAATGGTTGTAGTGGTAAACTGACGCTTGTTCTGTTTTAGACACAGATTTTGTTCGACGACGCCAGAAAGTCTAGAATGCCGCAAGTAGGCTACGACCTCCTTTCTGCCATTAAAAACGGCAACCCAAGAGCCTGCTATGGTTTGCTTTCAAGCTTCGCCTTGATAACTTGCCGTAAAATTAGCGCAAATATTTTCCTGATACTATATATTCTGGTAATGCAGCTTTTGTTGGACGGATCGATTTTGCGTCAGATGTGTGACAGGTGTTCAGAGACGAATCCATAGGCTTCACGTGCAATATATGATATTCTTCAAATACGCCCACAGAGACAGTTGCCAACATCCTTAAAGCCAATAACAGAATTTTCACAGCTAGAAGTAGATACATTTGACATACTGCTGGATTTAGAGTATGTAAAACGTCGGCTAGAATAGGTATAGAATGTAGGATTTCAAGAAGTATGAAAGTGCAACTAGATCCTGCTAATACCGGCATAGTACAAGCAGGTGTTATAGCTTCTATCAGCACGTTACTTCCGCTACCGGCGCAGGCTATTTCTTTTAGGCCACTTCTTTTGTCTGTGATTGTTGTTGATAGGACAAGAGTATCACCCCTGACACCCTTTCAATGTCGATGTGCCCTGGACACTCTTCATTCGTCCTCAATCTAGCCCGGCTTGAACAATACTAGTAAAGGCATGTAATTGAATAAGATACAACGCTTGACTGCCATGACAGCAGCCATCGAACAGCAGACGATAGCGTGTTACTGATCCTTTGAATGCCGTGCCTTAACTGCTAGCTCGAAACGCTTCTCGTACATTCAGCAGTTCGACAATCGGCCTTATCTTCAACAAAACAAGAGCGAAGGACACTTATAGGCGCGTAGATACAAGCAAAATGCTGATTTGTACCTACTTAGCACATTCGTATACATAGAGACAGTACGATTGTTATCGTTGCCACTACTGCTGATAAAGGTGATGAAGGCAAACATGACTCAGTTTAAGATATTTGAAGTGCCTGTTAATGAGCTATGGACTCAAGCATGAGGATATCGATGTAGCGACGTTCAAGTTACGCATTTCAAACATCTATATACCTAGCACTCTCTATTTGTATCATCTATCAAGAAAAATGTACAAATGTTTTTTTTGGTCAGCTTTAAATTAAAATTCGTTAAAAATTGAAATATCGCATACCGCTGTTTAGATACGATTGTAACAAGCGGCTGATTCGTAAGGATATGGAAGAACAGACATCTAAACGTCCTGGTACAATTGTATCGGATATTCTACAGCGATTTGTCAGAAGCAGTGAAAAGCCTTTCGGGTCAGATGCGTTTCCAATTGATTGCCTTATCACGTATTATAATAACAGCCCTTATTAGAAGTATTGTATTTTGTGGACGAGCGGCATTCATGACGGCAGAACACAAATCGGTAACGAACTAATTTAGGAACAAAATTGTGCTAAAAATCAATTTGAATGAAACTAATCAACCAACACTAAAGCATACATATTCTGTCTTAAGCCCAAAACAACAATATTAACAGAAATTGAATAATCTCTTTTTGTTATTGTCATTCTTTGAGGGAGAAGGCTCAGGATCGTTTATTACTTTGGAATGAGGTACAATTTGGACCCTTTGTAGGTTTAAATTTAAGCAAGCTTCCTTAAGTAAAAAGCTCTACATATACATATTCTCGAGCGTTCATGCGGAAACATTTCATGGCCGTCTCTATCGACGACAAATTCAAACTTATATTTCCCAGTACTATCAACAACGAACTCGTATAACAACCCTGCTGTAACAACAAGTCGCTGATCGCTTAACCCCATTCTGCACTTGAAAATGAATGTTATCTCCCGAGTCTCGCATTCCCAGTATGCTTACTTACACTCAGATTGATACTGTAGATTTGTAAAGCGGCCACTAAGTCCTTAGGCATGAAAAAGTTGGTTCAGAGTTGGACACGTGGTTACCTAGAATACACCTGATCAGTCTTCCGATACTGCTAATAGACGTTGCGGCCGGATTTTGTTTTACCATGAAATGAAGCGCGTTCAGCCTCGGCTTCGAACCCTACATGTCCTCAACTCTAACAGGCAAACACGTTAGCACTGTAGGATAACGAAAGTAGATCTGATACGCTGCGACCTCACTAGGCGACGCTGGAACGAATAGATTTTCTACCTATATCTACGTATTGCTGCAATTAATAGTAAGCAGCCTGGTTTTGACGTCCCAGAAGCGTATAACTGTTGAACTGCTCTTCTCGAACAGAGCCTAGTACTATATAAGCCTACCACGTTACTGCCAATGTAAGCTGCACGTTGGATCAAGCAGCCAGCCACCTGGTCAAAGAGAAAGCCTGACATATTATTGCAACTGCGCTGTGTGTGAGGTATTCGATACTGACAGTCAATCTGAATGGCGTTAAGGTGTTGTAAAGATGGATGGGTAGGACTCTGGCCGCTAACTCGGATCAGGAAAAGTGGCTGGAGTATAACGTTGGCTGGTTCTGGCCTTTGTTGTTAGTTGCTGTTATCCATCTGTTCGCTTGCATCTTGTGTGTACGGTGCATGCTGTGTTCTTCCACTGGCTACTCTAGCTGGTGGAGCCGAAGTTTGGATAAGCAAGCAATTCGAGCCGAACCGACTGCCACAAATTCGACATCATGCCCTAGGTTCTGATATGCAGAGCTTCACGGATGAGAAAGTTAAATGATGCATGCTTAGTCGGAATGAAAAGGTAAAACCACACCGACGACTAAGGTAAAGGGAAGTAGGTATAAAGGGCTCTTAACACTGAAGTTCGCCATTCCTTGGAACATGCATACGGATCCAAGTACGTTCTCAAGCATTGCAGTAAGCGATGTTTTTTGCGCCGTACGTTGATTTTTTATGATTCTTCAGTGGAGACTAACTGATTTGTTCGGCCAACTTGGCCTTGAGTGCAATTGGCCTTACGCCGACACGGTGTGTATTTGCATGTGTGCGTATGGTAAGTTGGTATTTCATTTCGTCGTCGACCATGCTGATTTTAATGTCTGAGTTATCTTTGGAAATTATCGTAGATGTCTCGAGGACGAGATAAATGCGGCGGCCCAGTGGAAGCTAACCCAACCTATAGCCACATAACAGCCACACACACCCACAGAACGTCAGTACTCGTTGAAACCGTCCCTTACGGGACACTACTTGACCAATGGGGGGCTAGATTCGCTCAACGCAGCGGTGCCTCCAGGGAGACAAAACAACCTCAGCGAACAAAGGCAAGACGCCGCCAAAAAAATAACCAACCCATCACAAGCTTGTTCCTCCGAAGATGCACATACCCACATAGAAGAAGCGCATTCGTGGAGGCGAAGGGGCAGGAAAACACAACGGCTGCCCCCAGGAGGACTCAGGAATTTCAAGAGCACCCGGCAGCGACCTACTACTGTCTCCTCGCGCTCAAGGCCGGTCGCTGCCGCCTACTCTTGTTCCCATCATCTGAATTCCTCTTTATCTTGTAACGGAATAGAGGCCTAGTGTGGATCGTAAGGGCGGACTCACAGAAGATCCAAGCGAATACGAGCGGAAAGCGAGACAAGAGAGGGTGGCGAACCACTAGGAAAAGGGCGACAAGTTATTGCAAAAAGTGAACAAGGGGCGGCGGAAAAGAACGGAAGGGGCAAGGACAAAGCCAACTAGAAACGGGCACAACTCACTGCACTAGGCTACCACAGTCTTTTCTTGTTAGCTTGGGAAGACTTTTGGTCTTTCCGCCCTCGAGTAGGTTGCTGTTTCCCCGATGCCATGTCTGCTAACGCTGCTACTGCTGCAGGCGGCATTAGCGTTACCAGCGGGAATGAAGTAGGCCTCTGCTCCGGGACTTTGGGGAACGGAAGGTGGGGACGACCTCGCCAGGCGAGTCAGTGGCAGTCAACGCCAGAAAAATGCTACCACGGAAGAAAAAAGCCGAGTATTGCCAGCTAAGTGAGGGGCAGAGCGGAATGGGGATTAGACCCCCCCCCCCCCCCCCGTTGTTTCCTCGGAAAGAATCAATCGACGCTCGAGAATTCGAATGGTGCTACACTATGATATAGTGGAGGTACAGTCAAGATAGCAGCGGACTGCCGAACTAGCCGTGGGGGCTTGAAATAGATTCGAAATAAGCCGCAGCAGACTTCAGGCAACGTTAGCAAAAAAAAAAAAAAAAAAAAAAACTGGTTACAATCACTTATGAAAAACGTGCTTGCCATTATCCAACCTTTTCTAGTTGGCAGGACTGGAAGGCCGCCGAACGGCGAAGACACTGTGCCTTAAAACAGGCAGCGGAGACATGCTGACTCAATTCCTTAAAGCCGCCGACCATGACGATGGCATTGACTGTGGAACAACCCTCTAACAAACGGTTCAGCGGAACAACCCAAGGGAACGTAGAGTATATGATCAGCGCATTATGTGAATCCAGTTGGGGGCTTGGGTTGCTGTGCAAAGCGTCGACCGTATTGCTTAGAAACTTATTTGTGCTACTCCGATCGAATCTCGAGACCTGCTAGGTTACAGGAGCCTCCGGAACCCGAGGCAAATGGCGGAATACGATAGTCCAAACAAGCTCGCTAAGACCAACCATTTACGATCCAACGCTAATACTACAATAGTTGGGAACGCTGACGGAAAACATTGGTCCATCCCAGTCGAACGACGGGACGCTTTCATGCTGTGCTAACACACAGTGGAATACTAGTTACAATGGTTAGCGCAATGATATTAGTAACGAGAAATAATAGGAAGGTTGTAGAGTGGTCGAAGAACTATAGCAGACGCAACCGGGAAATCGCCACTCTCTCATAAAATGACTGATACAAATACGAAAGTGTGGCGCAAATGATGCCGCAAACAAGAAGATGCTGAGCGGAACGACGAAAACGGGAACGTACGCAGAAAGTGCAAAAAGCATAGAAAAAGAGACGGGATAGACAGATGGACAAAAGGACATGCGAAAGGTATATTCAAAGTAAAGAATGACTAGTGCGGCAAAGGAAAGAATTGTTTAGCCATAGTTGTTGCTGCTATAGCAATAATAAAAAAAAAATAGAGAACATAAGCAGTCAGTAGAGATGGTGCGAAGACTTCTTCTAAAAGCAAAATACTAGTCAGCGTCCACCTTTTTGGCATCGTTTCACACCGGACTAAATGTCTGTACCCGCATAAAAACGTGTGTAATAGGAAATATAAATGCCGCGATAAGGAAATTTAATTGAAAGCCTTTCACTCATTTATATGCGTATTATTTGAATATCGAATGAAATTCGTTGGTTCGTTTAGTCCTGTCAGTAAAGGTCGCTAACGCAGGCCACATGCAGTAAAAAATGTCTGTGTGTTGCGGAGGCGAATGTCCTGAGAGATATTAACATCACTGAAATGTCTTATAAATTCGATTAACGTCAACACGTCAGGTTTTCAGTTCTTTACAGGTATAAGTTCACCAATTATGCATATACATATATGTATATATATCTACGAGAATGGCGTAGTTTAGTCACATATATATCTAATTATTTTCTGTGTTTAAAATGAACGAAATCTTAATAATGAAAAGAGCAGCTACTATTTAGACTGTTTGATACAACCAAAATGCAGAGAATATGCCTACAGCACAAACTATTAAGCAACACGCTTTTACCTGTACTTTTTCATTGTTTTCACCGCTGTCGCTTGTTTAGGATGTAGCAATGGTAGCCAGCTCACGTACTTATTTCATTTCTCTGATTCATCCGTTGCACAGGGATATCTGGGAAAGCGAGCAAAAGCTCATGGAGGGAAGCTGTAAGGTTTGCCAGGAATCGAAAAAACAGAAGACGTTACAAAAGCGAGGCTATCAGCATAGCCGTCCTCACCCCCATCCGAAGCTGGCTGGATCTCGGCACCCGGATTTAGGTCAACAGGTTGGACCCTTGCCGCCTATGGCATTGGCAACAGCGGGCGAGCCGGCTGGTTGGCTTGGGACCAGTCTTCGTGGTAATGGAGCAAGCGAAGGTGGCAGAGGTTTTCGCAAGTTTTCGTCAGCCCATCATGAACACCAGCACACGTACCAACATTCGTCACCAGCACAAGTTCAGCACGAGCAGCGCCATCTACATCATCATCAACAGCAACAAGCCCAGATGACGCCTCAGCTGATCGGGCCGCCACGAGCAAGTTCCCTTGGCCCGTCGCAATCATCACACATGTTACCATTTTACCCCAATGCAGCCATGCAAGCCAGGTCAGGAAGTTCGGTCAATTCATGCGGTGAGTCCACTGGAAGGTTTCGTACTGAACCCGACGAACAATGTCAGCTTTTTGGCCCGACTGATCCCACTACTGCTAACAGCAGTACCCCACCAAGCCCAAAACTATTAGAGTGCCAGCCGTTTTACGGATCCTCGAAGTACAATGTAACATGTCGAAGTGCGAACGATCACATGGACGAGGAGCACACGGAAGATGACGCGGAAACAGAAGCACTCATGTCGGCACAAGACAGAGATGACTCACATTCACACAACATCCTGATCCGCGATCACGAGCAAATGACATCGATACCGCCCATAATGGCCGTTCACCAACAACATTTTTTCGACGTCGCTAGCCACCCTGATACGATAGGCGGTGTAAACAGGTTACAACCGAGCTGGACTGTGTGGCCCACTTGTTCACCGAACGGCCTTGCTAGCACATATGGCCGTGGGGCAGTGCCCCTTGGCACGCCGGCAGTCTTCGGCAGTGCAATATCCTCGGCATCGACAACCAATAATTCAGACAGATCAATGGACACCGTCATTCAAAGCTGTAGTGCAAGGCTTGCGTCAACTAATCCAAGCAGATTGCTCATTGCTGGCAATAATCACAGTCATCATTTTTTAGCGTGGGCACGGGGCCGCAGTACAACCAGTATGAGGCTGGCCGCAATGCGCCAGCGCGGTCCCGTGATTACGATCCGTGAAGCTGAACAGCACAACCAGCCACGAAAGCATCGATGTGAGCGAAAAAGGGACGCAGAACGCTTACTCCGTCAGGTCCTGCAGTCGAAGACAGCGTTGACCACGTATACAACATGGAAACAGCAACACTGCCACCGTGAAAGTGAGCCGCAGAGCCAACATTGTCTGCAACAACAGCAAAAACAGCCACAGCAACGGGTGCAGTTAGAAGAACCCGGGCAGCACATCGAGCTGAACGAACTTAGCGCACCCCGTTTCCACCTGCAAGAACTGTGCCCACAGGACATTTATAATACGAGTGCAGTCTGTTCTGTGTCAGGAATACCCCACCAGGCTGAGCGGTACCGATGGAGACGGTGGAAGCGACGGCGAAGGCGACAGCGCGTCGGTCCCATCGAGTCAGGTCCTATCAGAATCAATAGGACACGATTATATGACCACAAGGAAACTTTACAAGGGGATGAACAGGTTTCGATTGCGGGACCTTCTCAACACGAATCTTGTCCATGTTGTGCACATCGACTTGCGTGGAGCTTTTGCACTGCCAGCGTTACGGATTGCTCACGCGCTCATCAACTGGGTATTGATGTAGCGATTGAGCAAATCTGCGGTACAAAAGTAAGCGGGTAAACCAGAATCTAATGCATGTTAACGTATGCACACATGTGACCGTACGCAGTAATTTTAGAATAATTTTTTTTGACATATATCCAGATCGGTGCGTCTATGCGCTCGCATATAATTTACCTGTTATGTAAGTTGAAAGCTTATGAATGTAAATTTATTTCTGTTTCTCTTTTCTACTTGTTTTTGTGAAACGTCCTTTTTCAGGAAGCTCCTACCAGTCGTATACACCAGCCGCGGACAGCGGCAGCGACGCAAACCCTCTTGAGTGATCATCTCAATCAACACTCAGCGACACTGCGGAAAAAAAATTCTTCCCTGCTGCCTGTAGTTCCGGCTGCAGTTCCAGTAGCGACGTGCATTAGTAAGGCCGGCGAGGATGGCATTGTTCAGGTGACCACTATGGGCCTAAAGCGATTTTGGCGACGCGTTGGCGTCACTAGACTGACCTCTTCAGTGCCTCCAGATTCGTCTGAGTCTGATCATATGACGGTCGTTCCAACGCTGCCTCAACCACACCAGCCCGTCGTCGGTCTCCAGCGGTTGCCAACGATTCTTGCGCCGTCACTCGTAGCACGTCTGCTGCACGCGGGACAGCGTTCCCGCGTTGAGTTCGTCTGACCCTGTCCGAACGGGGGCGCCGGCAGCATACGAAATCGCTCCGCAGTTTTCGACGTCCGCCAGCATTCGTCGCTGTCACCTCGTTTTGTGCTGTACGGCACAAACGATGATGACGATCACGACCGCGACGATATATATATCGAGAGGTCAGACAAGCAAGAGTTCTGTCGCATGAGTGCCCTCAATTACCGAAATTTCTCGCTTTCTGACTACTGACCGTTTGATACGGCCATACCGAGCCGGTGCAGATTGATGTCTAATGCAGAAGATAGATGACAACGTGCGCTGTTTAACAGTATATACTGGTTCATTTATACCAAGCCGCATTGTCAGCCGATTCCTGTGCCAGCAGCGTAATGACCGCCTTTAATTATTGCTAACACATAATTACTATAATAATACAGACTCGTGCATCTGCACGAAACACATAGGGCAGGCCCACAAGTCGCCTCCCGGAAAGCGCGCACAAAGCAATTAGACTCACGCTTGTCTGCAGCAGTTATTGGTAAACAGTGACAGAGACGATAAAACGGCCGGCGGCAGTAGAGTGATGATCGAATGCGAGGAAGCCTACTGTATTAATAACATATTATATTGCTTTGGTAATGAAAGACAATAATGCATGGGATCGTTAACGATATTAAACATGATACGTGAACAGAAAAAGCGGCCACAGCAGCTGATCGACCTCGAAAGTAAGGCGTCCGGTAAGAGCACGTATATGTCAGAGTAATATACATATATAGAGAGAGAGAGAGAGAGAGAGTAGGACAAGATCCAAAATTCGAATGGGAACAGCACGATATTATAGTAATTTATTACTACCACGACCACTACTGATGGTGTGCCCTTGTACGTATCCATTGTGTGAGGTTCACGTCGCCAACGATACGGAGCAACTTATAAAATCGTCTACTTATTTATGGATTACCTAAGCGTTCTTTATCCTATCACCGAAATGTATTCGGGTTGATTGAGCATGCTCCCTTACCGAGAAGCGATTACAAACGGGAAAGGTTGAACGTGAGGCAAAACTGCTGGATCTAGAATGGCAAACAAGGACAGCGCTCCCGCGTTAGAGTACGCCTACCGAAGAAAAAATATTATTCATCGGAATCTCTTTTCGCATTATAAAAACCAACATTCTCGTCACAACAAAAACACAGTAAGATCTCGATTTACAGCCGTTGTGCAGAAGCGTATAATGTGCTTCGGCTTATTATCAATAAAGTCAATTTTGTTTTATTTATAACATTTTGGTACTATTTCAGCTTTATCAAGCTTCCGCCCGGAGCAATTCTGCAACTACTTCGTCTACCAGAAATTGTAGAAACTCAGTTTTATCCATTATCAATTGAATGCTACAAACTTCGAATCTGTACATATGGCGTGTACAATACTGATGCTACCTTGCCATGTCTGACGCTAGTTCTCATTTACATATCTACAAGCAACCAAATACTAGGTGATAAGAGGAATTCAATAAGTTAGCCTTACGTATGATATCACAATATTTGTGCTGTTGTAGTACTTTTCGTTTCGCAGATTGCTTTCTTCCAATATACGGCGTACACTTTTATCACAACCAGTTCCAATATGACTACGTCTGAGTACCCGTATGAGAAATGGCTTTGCCAGTTTGAATAGTGCGCTTTGTTCTCTGTTTGTATTTACAACTATTGCCGTGATAATATTGAAGGTACGGACTGCTACGGGTGGTGCTTCTGCTTAGCTTGCTTTAAGCTGTGCGACAGAGGACTGCGTCATTGACGTCCTGATAGCTAAGTATAAACGTCTCTCGTGCCTTTAAGAGCGTCGCATCTCAATCTCCCTAACCTTAACTCCAGTATCCGCGCGGATCAAAAGACACCCCTTACTTAGTCACCCACGATTGCTTTGCCGTTGCGGCTGGGACGCCGGCACCACCACCATTAACCTGCCAGTGGGTTTTGCGTATGGCAGCACTAGCAGACTTAGCAAGCTCACACACTTTTGTTTTAAGCTCGGGATCCAAAACGACAACGAATCGTCCGTCCGTCCTAAGACAAAGACGGCTGGACTGCTAACAGCAATGAACGAGGCCAGCGAAGAAAGCGTGTTTCTTCGATCAAGTCAGGGCCAAAGCTGCGAGCCGTGGAGGTTGCTCTTGCTGCTACTACAGCGACTGCCTTGTTGTGTCCGTAATGTATGCGCCACAGGCAATCGTAAGCTTCATACGAAGCGGTTTGGGTGGACCTCTCAGACCTGCTTAGACTGCGGACATAGGTTAGCAAGGGGTGGCTAGTGAGTAGTCGGCTGGTTACCCCATCTGATCCCCGTCTTTATCGCTTCTTCACTGTTGCTTACGCGCCGCCAATACCAACTATGTCGGCACCACCGCTAGCCACAACGACGACGACCGTTAGCGCCAATGGTAAGTACATGGCGGTGCCTGGTGGATGGAGCCGGCCTGGTCGGTGCCTGCTTGAAGGTTGCTGGTTAGGGCCTTCTTGGTCGGTCCTGGCTCTGCCCGCCCATCTGGGCATGTCTGTCCCTTTCTTTGAGAGGATCCGCTCCTTGCCTTAGTTTTTCCTTGTATCACAGCCCAGCAGCCCATACCCTCCCCGACGGTTTGGCTGCGATGATGACGATCGGGCCCGAAGCCAGGCTCTGCGACCAGAGAGAGGCCCTGCTGCACAGTGGGTGCTAGTGCAGCCCACGTCGACCCAGCTGTGGCGGGGTCGACGGCTTCGGCAGTATCCGACAGCTGCCAGGTCGCTCTTCACTGACATAGCATGCCAGCAACTGAAGGGCGGGGCCAGTCCTATGTAGATGCCTTCTTACCTACATACCTCGCCCCCTATCTCACTTCAACATGCCCCCGCCCCAAGCGATTTTCGCAGCAGTGTATGAGCGAGCTCATCAAGCGGGCTTGGCTGAGCAGCACAAACACGGAGGGATAGAGTCTTTCGTAACTGCTACGCGGCTGGCCGCTGACGAAAGGCCATGAGGATTTCGATGAGCCGTACGGCTCTCAGCCCCGCTTTTGCGATGTGCAATCGGCGGGCAGAGGGATAAAGTTTTACCTGTACAGCCCTCAGTTACCACATATTCATCCCTGAAGACTATGAAGCTTTTTGCTAGTCCTATCTTGTCTATACAAGTCGCTCACCTGCTGGCTCGCGTGGAGTCTTGCTGTGTTCTAAGCCGCACCGCGCATGTTCTCCTCTCATTAAACCACCTATGGGAAAAGAACATGAATGGAGATTAGCCCGCAAGCTACAGCTTCGGTTCCCCTTTTGTAGCATAGCTGGGAGAAAGAGAAAGGTTTTGCCTTTAGTGCAATTGCGGCGTCATTTGCGTGTACGCACACCGGCCATTTCTTGACACCTTTATTGTTAAACGCTTACAGGACACACATAAAGCCCTTTTTTGCCTCAAGATCAGCCCCTGCAGCCGAGTTCTAATGCCATCCGCTCGGACATTCTCTATCCTAGGGAATTTCGCTTTTTTTTTGCCTAAACAACATAGCACCAACATGACCGACCTGTACTCAATTATGACTGTAATCTAAACCACACCGTTATGTTCATCTTTCTATTACTGTTTCCCGCTTCTGTCTTTACGCGTTCCCCCAGCTGCTACCGGAATAGTTCCAGTATCTTCGTCATGTCTGCGTTCTGTTCAGTGAGAAGTTTGCGGATTCTGTTTTTTTAATTCAGTAACAGCCACGACGTCTGATGATCGAAATCGTAGAAGGACAACTTGATCTATTTTCAAAATTATCCTTTTAATCAAACTACCTTATAGAGTTAAGATTATGACATAAAAAGTGAACTAGCATCGCTAATAGGCGTTTCTCAAATGCCGGCTTGACATATGATTTGGTACGTTCCAAGTACAATTCAGTACGTCTACTTATGTCGCATTTCGTTGACCTTATGCCCGTGACTAATATAATTTATATCCTGCAAGGCCCGCCTTCACCCTAGAAGAAGGTGCAACAATCAGGACTGGTTGTAACAGTACGTGCGACTGCTATTTAGTTACAGATATTCCACATAATGCCGTTAACTCTTGCTTGCTAATACCCAATACCCGGAGTTTTCCGTAAAAATGTGCCTTGATAAGAAATAACTGAGAGATCCACAGACGTGAGCTTAGTACAGAGAGATAACGTACGATAACACAATTGCTTGCTTCGTGTATGAATACGATGATAACTGCTGAGCATATACGGCCAATTCTCTAGGAAAGAAAAAGTCGAAAGTTTTAAGCCTACGACGTATTTCCGGCGTTTCGTTGTTCGTTGTCTGTTTTACATGACGGGAAAATTCGCTTCGAGAGCCCTAATTCTACTGCTATTGCTGCTGCTGCTACTACGACTATAGATATTGGACACATAGAAGTTTTTCTTGAGCCTCAGATGGCGGATATGCACACATGAATGTTCGTTTACAAGAAATAACAGGCAAACCCAATAATATCAGAGAACAGCCTCTTTTCTCGTTAAAGAAACGGGTCGGGGCGTTAAGTGACAATCATCATGAGGAGGTTCCTAGTGACGTATGCCGATGACTTACAAATGCGCTGGAATTTTCCGCCTCTCCATATTGAAGAGGGGGCAGCGAGGTACAACTACCAGCCGAGGTACTGCTGTGCGCTCGAGCTCGCAAGGAAAGCGTGCTCTGCTCAGACGATAATGCTAAGACAAAGACGTAACAACAAGATGTGTTCCTTCGATGTGCGAATATGTGTCAAGAAACGAGTACATATGCAGCTTTGCGTCATCGTGCCGTGAAAGATTCAAAGCTAACAACACGCTAAACAATAAAGACCTGTAATATATATATATTTCTGACCATAACATCAGTTGGTAAATAAGTACATCGTACGTGCATGCGGTAAGCGTCACAAGTAAGCCATGCAAGCTAAGAAGCAAAGGCGGAGAAAGCGTTCGAAACGTTCATAGCCAGGAAGTGCAGTAAGCCTTTTGACTGTCAGCCATCATAAGGAAAATTAGCCGCAGGTCGACCTGTTATTAGTTAGTCGAATTTATGTGTACTATGAAAAACTGTATAGACAAGCAAACACAAAGCGTAGGCAAATGAAATTGTTGCGCTTTTGCCTCTTAAAACAAGTAATCAAAGGAAAAATGGAAGAAATATCGTAGGAAAAGCGGCAAACATGCTACATATCGTGGACTTTGAATTTGGCTATCGTAAGCAAAGAAAGACTTGAATAGGTTAAAATTAGCGATTCGGAGAAAATTTTTCTCAGTCGATGTTCTGACAATATTAGAAGACTGTAAAAGTAATTTTGAAGCGTAACTTAGATTAGAGCTCCAGTAAAGTTTGCCCATTGCCAAACTGTTACTCTAGATTCACAATATGATAGGTCCTCAGTCGTGGCAGTGCTCTAATCCAGTCGGCGTACGCGTGCGTTGCTATCCATACTACCACATGATAGTTCCGTACGTGATAGATAAGCAATGGTTAGAAGTGTCAGGGAAATTGGTAATCGGTAACAGGACAATGCTACTGGTAATTATGATTACGCTTATTAGAGCAGAAATTTGGAGGTTGATAATCGGTGATAGATTAATAATCATTATTATGATTGTCTATTAAAGTAGGACGTAAGAAAAATATATCTACGAATCGATGACAGTGAAATGACGACAGAAGAGGGAAACGTGTTAAAAACGCTGAAAAGGTGATGACTGGACTAGATAAGCCAATCCACATATTCATAGTCTATACACAGGCCTGTGGGGTACAAGTGTTGGAGAGAACAGGGAGATTATATATATATATATATATATATATATATATATATATATATATATATATAAACTTATCTACAAGTACAATAACGATACTAAACAGAATGTAAGATGATGACAGTGAATGAGAAACTGACAAGTGATGAATGCACGGAACCAACAGAACGGTTACAATTACTATAGATATAAAAAAGAACACAACATACAATAAAATGGCGGGGACTCGCTTCGAGGCAAAACATGTCCAACCCAATAGATAATCGATTCACTGCGGTACGTTTCGGTAACTTCAGCTAGATTACGATGCTAAAAAAATCGAAAGCTCAGCATAAAATAGAACTCACTGCTGAGCTAAACCTACTAAAAGAGAGATTCATGTATATTTTCGAAAAAAACTGCTCGAGTCAAAAATATTTCTTAGACGATATAATTTTTAGACTAAGACATAGGTTTTACGTGGATGTTCGGGCCAGTTTCAAAGGATTGGTACGTCTTGTTTTGGGGCTAACCCCGTCACGTACATGAATACGATAGAGACAACGCATGCTGCTAGCTGAAAAAAGTTCGATGATTTCTTTCGTCTTCGAGGACTTCATAAGTGTGTCCCTTTCCTACAAGGATTCTATTCCCTCAGAGCAGTATACAGCATGGGGCGCTCGAAAAGCCACTGCTAGGCACCCACTGCAAAGGAAACTACAATTCGTCTCAGCACAAAAATGAGCAACGACCAGACGATAAGAAAGAAGCACCTAAAAGTTCCGTTTGAAATTTAAAAAGAAAAAAAATGTTATAATAGGTACAATAGGATCAAACGATCTCCAGGCATAGGTGAAACAATGCAATACTTCGGACATGCAGATTTGTCCATTTTACCAGTAAATATACAAGAACAGAAGACAAGATATCGATCAGAAACGCTAACAGATGATTGAAACGCAAAATCGTATATATCGTCGTATATAGACTTTTATGTTCTTATGCATTTCGGTGTTCTATTAAAAGTGCTAGCATACACGCATAGTGAGCATAAACTACTAGTAATAAGTCAATTGTACACTTGGCTGATCTATACGCAGAAACTTCACGTGAGTAAGTTGTCGTTTTTTGACTTCATCAGATTTTAAGCTATTATGTTGAAGTATTGAACGATAAACAATTACCAAAGAAGCTCATATCAAGAAATAATCAAAAGTAGCTGGTTATTTATTTTGGGTCGATGGCTGGGGTTTCAATACGCCCAACTAGCCAGCAATAGCACTCGTAGTTACTATTGAAACTTTTATTAAAGCTACCTATTTTGCTCCTCTTGATGTACACATAGTCCAACGAGAACAACGTCAGTCGAGCGGGAACATGGTCAACAGTGTAGGGCGTACCGCGTCTGCGATTTCCGCTAATACTGGCATCAGCTGCTCCAACCTAATACGATTAGTTTTTACGAGCAAAGTTTTGAACGTCGTTTACATATTGTGTGAAACTATAACACTAAATAAACGTTAAGGTATCTCCAGTGTGCAAGATCTTTCACGCAGAGAGGGGAAAACGACATGAAAGATAGAAGAGCAGCGTCGAAGCTGAAAGACAGCAGGGATATGGGATATCGGGAAAGGGAGTTAGATGGATCAATTATACACTAATAACTAAAAATAAACATGATGATTATATGCATAGAGTAGATAGTAACCATTATGAGCACATTGATTAATATTGATATTATTACTGAAGATACGGCGACAGCTGTTACGGATCGTTATACACGTCATGCAATAACAGCCTCGTGGCGCAGACAGCCGAAGTATTACTGATCAAAATTTAGCGGACGGTGTGACGGAGACTATAAAATGGCAGGAACTAAACTAGGCGGGACGATAAAGACGGGCAACAAACAAGCCGAATACAAAATGAAAATCAAGGCCAAATGACGAGACTGAGAATTTGACAAAAATAAACAAAAAATTGTAAATTTATCGGGGCATAAGTGAGGCGCAAAGATGAACCGGTGAAACACTACCGAGACGAAGACCAGCAGAAGAAGATTTGCGAAAATGACAACAGAAAATGATTTACAGAAAAAGCAAATAAACAATATCGTATACGTTTAGTGTAACGCAGCCGACATAAAAGGCGGAAATTGAATAATAGATAATGCGCTCCAAAACGAATACTGCGTAAGTTAGAGCCAAATGATAGATAACAAAAAATTGCGATGAAGATGAAATTTCAATGATAATGATATAATGCAAAATACGATCATTAATAAAGATACACGTGGTTTGATAATGAACGAGGATATCGCACATGTGTCTTAATGGCAGCTATTTGCGGTAGAGTAGAATTTTGTCTTCGAACGAAACGATACGTTTTCTATATGTAGTTATGTCGATTGCTCGAAAACAGCATGGGTGTTCGCTTAAAAATGGCGACTAGTAAGCCGAAGCGAGGGTGCAGGCTACGTTATGTGTTAGAGAACGAAAAATAACCGACACGATGGGTAGCGATCACACGGATCATTTACGGACGCGTATGCTCGTAGTTTGATAAAGGCTAGGAGAATCGTCTGCATTAGTTAAAATAAATTACCCTGATGGCCCAGGTAGCAGTACGCTGGTAGCGTGTTTACCGACTAAACTTAGGGACATGCGCTGGGCTAGGTTCAAAACCGGGCGCAAACACGCCTCGTTTTGCGCTGGGGGCCAGCCCTATGAAGCAATGACTAACAGCAATATTGGGCTAAAAACGCGCAACGCCTTTAGAGTAACTTCCTCTCGAGTCAAGCAAAGGTTTGCCTTTGAGAGGGACCCGTTTGCACCGACAGAAAAAGCCTGTTGCCGTAAGATGTTGCAATTCCTAACCAGCTTTGTATGATATTGACTTGGATACGTTCGGCCGTCGTGCCATCTCACTGCTTTTGTTAACACCGAATCTATTAGTCGTACGAATGGCCACCGCGGGTTGTACCTTCAACTACACAAGCACAGCACAAACTGGCTTTTGTTTTAGTTCGAATGGCGGTCAAATTCTCCAATGTGAACATATGTCCGTTAAGTTTTGCACCAGTAGCTGTGAATGGCGCATATGGCATACAAGACGTCTAGGTAGGTTCTACCTGTAATATAGGGTGTGACTAATATGGAGAGTGCTTTGTTATATATAATCCTTATTCACGCTCTTAAATAGTAGTAATAATTAGGGAACAAAGAAGGAAAAATTTTTCGAGATTTAATTTATTCGGAAGAAGTTATTAGCCCGCCCCCTTATGGGCGTTCGCTGCGATATGATACAAAGACACTATAGCTTTCCACACTATCCATGTTTACATGAATCGTACAATACAGTTAATTCGACTCTTCGTTTCAAACATTTCGGTCTTGTTCTCTTCATAGACACAACACGGCAGCTGGATGATCACGTCTACCAAGATTTCAACAGCATCAACAACATGTCCTTCTCTCCACTGCGTCCTATAGGCCTGTGTTCGCCAAGTGACAGTGGCAGCAATGTTTTATCCGACGAAAAATGCTTGCGTTGCCTGCAGGTTCACCGTTGGCGTCTCTGTCGTTTTCCTTCAAGCTGTTAGAGAATCTGAGCATGTCCTATATCGGTTTAACAAGACCAGAAAACGGGACTCTGGGGAATGGTTTAGCTTTCGCCGTCGTTATGCCGACAGCATCAGTTAGCGCCATTGTTTAGTACACGGCTCAGCAGGTCAGTCAGTCAATCAGCTTTTAGTCTCGAGTATTTCGAGATCGAAAAGAACCGCTAAACCCCCTGTCAAACCCCTAGAGGGAATGCAAGACGATTCGGGGTAGCTTCACGGCGGCTCTGTCTGGGTGTACTGAGAGAGCAGCTCGAGATTTGCTGCAGTGATGTAGACGTGGAGGTAACATAGGACAAGCGGACCACAAGCTGTTGCCTACTATCGGCCTACGGCAACTTGCCGCCACTGCTGCGACCGTCGCCAGTTCGAGGCCGCTTGATGAACAGAGAAGATAAATAACGAATCGAACGACTCTTTGCTCATAAAGAGTAGGTGAAGAAAAAAGCTGACGAGAACAAGACAATTCGTTGATGACGACGGTCGCTGAAAAAATGGGCCAGCACAACGGAAAATGTCAGATACAGCTAGAGCGACAAGCAGAAGGAAAATGGTGGAGGGTCGAGGACAAAAAGGCTGAGAAAAGCGAGAAGCTACTAGAATGGCCTGGCTCGTGTGGTGTTTGCTCGGCTCATCACGTAGCTGATACGACTACCACTATCACTACGATATTTTCAGTGCAGCGACTGCTGCTACCCTTTCAGTTTGGACCACCGCCGCCGCTGCGGACGCTGGCGGACTCGTAACAATGCTCGTCACGACAACTGCCTCTAGTCACACTGGTCGCAGCTGCTGATGCGATCCGGAGCCAGTCTGGGGGTAGTGAAATGGAGGGAAATAGCTGGATAAAGAAGGAGAGCTTCACAAACGCGCAGTGGGATCTTGTGGCCTTGTGGGACGCCAAAAAGGTGCTAGCGGGTGGTGTGTTCCTTCGTATCAACCGTACGGGGGGTTTGCCACACAGCTGTGGCCCATTGATCTGTCAATGAGAGAATGGAAAAAGCTGGCACCGATTAAGAGTGGGGAAACTAGACCAATATGCGCTTACGGCCGACGAGTACAAAGCGGCAGAGACCATTGCAATGTGGAGCAGCGAGGCAAGCTGCTATAATATAGCGCCGAGGGGGCCCACACACATACACACGTATGTGTATGTGCGATCGAGAACGCAGTTAGAGAAGGTAATAGGTAGCGGGTCGACTCAGTAATCCGAACTGGTATTAATAATATCGGTGGTTAGGACTCGCATGAAAAGAATAACGTAACAAATCTGATTGAGGCTGCTTTGTTTTTCTGTTGTAATTTGTGAATTTATAGATGTTTTTTTTTATCACACTGTAAGGGAGAAAATACCAACTGGCCATTGGGTGATTTTTACTAAAAAACATAGTGAAAAGCACGCGAACCTAGGGTCACGTTACTATCATCCTTAGAGGTTATCAGTTGATAATAAATAACAATTATATAGGCCAAGGTTAAGGTTTTTGAATGAATTTGATTAAATGAGTAAGAAAACGACAGTTTGGTAGTGCACAAGGAGAAAACCTTGGCTAAGGGATCGTATAATTAATGTTCATTTGAATTTATGGACTGTGTTGCCAATTGTAGGGCGCTGCAGTATTGTTTATAGCGGTTAGGCTTTGCTAAAGATAATTCTGCTAAGCAGAAGCAATCGTGCCAGTGTAACATCAAAAATAGTCGTCAACATTTGAACGCGTTTTTTTTTTTTTTTTTTTTTTCATTAGCTAGAACTGCATTAGACAGCTTATCTATGTTATGTAAGCTTAGAGTCGCTTATAATTAATTGCCTCGTTTTCTTTTTATTTTAAAATATACGTTAGCATATAGAGATGAAACAAAAAGAGGACTAACAATTCGGAGTCCACATTTAAATTGAACACATACATAATCTAGGTAAAATTGCATGCAGTTCTTAATGCACAATGGTAACAATAGCAACAACAATAAGCATCAGGTAATTTTAAAGCAAGGAAAGATTATGAATCGTGGTTGGCCGTTGAGATTCGCTATCGACAATGCTAAATTTACCGGTAGCACAGATAAAATATGGCGTTATAAAATCTGCGCCCATCAAACATAGATACTCGCTAGAAGTCCACGTCGAAACGATTCGTGCCGAATGCATGCTAGCTAAAAGTGACGTACTCTTCACTGAGTGTTTGCACGGATAGATGAGAACGCACAATGAGTGCCAAAAGGTAAACGTTCGTCTGGTTCCACAATGAAATACAACTTCTAGACCCTCTTTAAAGCCTAACTCGATCATCCAAGCATCCCTTATGCTCTATAAACAGTTCGTTTAACTGTAGTTCACTTGTTCACCTCTCGGCGTCGCTTTCAATCTCGATCTGATACGTCCTGTTCTGTTAATAGAGAAGGGAAATTTCCTGGAACTACTTGCCATAGACGATACGGTATCACTGTTGTCCTGCCCATTTTGTACAAATTTAAAGACATTAGAGGGAAAAGGTGGTTCAATAAAACCACCAATGGACGAACTCAGCTAACGTTAGCTACTCACGAAGGTGACTTGCATTCCGCAGTTCGCTAGCCTTAGATGTGGCAATGGCTAAGTACATCAGTACAGCGGTCGAGGGCCTAGTTAAAGTAGCTATCCATAAAACAAAATCCATTGCGGTAGCTAATGGGGCGCAGTATTCACAGGATTAAAAACAAATATCAAATGCTATGATATGAATCCTTCCAGTCAAATCGTCTGATCATCGTTGATTCACTACATCTGAAACTTTTAAAGCCACTAGATGCCGTACGAAGAGGCCCCCAAATGTTTACTGATACGCGCGAACAGCTTATTCATTTATATGTACAGCTTAGGTTCATCTAAATTTACCTAGACGTTGCCCCCTTCCCCGAATGCAGAAGATCTTGGAGATCTTTATGCTCATTCTGGTATACAGGCGATAAGGAGGATTTTCAGCGTAGCACTAAATGTCAATCTCGTTACTATGAAGTGGAGCGGGGCAGCCCTATGTAGTAGTAAAGCAAGCTGGCCGTACCAGTTAGTAGCTATGGGATTAGCCTCCATTTGCTGTGCTATGCTCCTTCTCAAGTTTGGTCAGCTCGTTGAACCTTTGATATATGAAGGACTCCGGCATAAATAAAGTAGGAAGTGAGAATGTATCCTGGCTAAGGTCTCAGATTTCCCGATCCTCTAAAAGAGCATCCAGGATAGTGCGATCTTGATACCTGCACATGAAACGTCTTTTTTTATTTAATTAAAGAACCCTTAAGGAAAAACAACGATTTTAGCTGACTCAGAGGAGTAGGGTGCTCTCGATGTCTGAGTGCCATGTAGTTTAGCACTAGATATAAAAAAGAATACGAATGGTGCAACTATATCATTCTCCAAGCAAAAACTTAGTATGAGACGTAATCTTTCAGTGCAGATTGATCCGCTTCTGAGCTCACCACAGCGCCTCTTTGCACAAAAGGACCGGTAGCCGATCACGCGGCTGTAAAGAAAATTTCAAGGGACGCCGATTTTAACGAACAGATGGACCTATTCATTTCAATTGCAACGAAGACCATGGAGCTTATTAATAAGAACGCTGAAAGGTTAATGGGAAGCATTCAATGCGAGTTAGCCCTACCACGGATAAGGCAGCTGCTGTCACTAACTGCTGTTTGCAAAGAAAATACAGCGTCCATTTTGGACGCATTTGGATAATAACGATTTGATGCTAACTTTATACCAAGCTGAATTGGTATAATTGTAACACACAATAGTACTAAGTATTGATAACAATAGCTGCTTTATTCGCTTAAAAGGACAGGATACAGCCTTCTGAAAGAAAGAATCAAATCCTGTTTGTTTACCAAGTGTTGAAGAAAAAACAGCGATATTCAATGACGAACGAGCTACGTCTGCCGATATTCCAAATATGTTTCATTTCTATGTGCACGTAGTGTGAAATGAGCGACAAAACGTTTAGGCATGAATTCATAGACGTAAAATGCACGTACATGTCCTCTTTGCGCGTTTCGACAAGGGATGCCGGTGCTGTTTACGTATATCGTATTATGATAGCAGAAAAACATCAACTTGCAAATATATTGGCTCCTCTCTGTAATTCCGTTCAAACTTATGCCGACAGCTGCCCTTAACCGTTACCGGTCCTGAACGAGCCGACTGTAGTATCTAAATTGGATCGCGCATTCGTTAGAGCTGACGAGCCAAAGCAACCAAAATGTTCAACAGCGAGGATATAATAGAAATCTACTCATTTGGCACTCAGCGACTGTTACCGGCGGTCTTGCCAGCTAGTCTGAGGCGTCGAGCGAGGGTCGCATCAGTTATCCGTGATGATCTCTCAGTGTTTGATGACAGGAAAGATTCATCGATCAAAGTTAGTATACACCAGGTGAGCTGTTTGTGCGATATACTCTCTGTTTTTAGTGGCTTTTGTTAGCTTTCACCCGCCTGGTGCCTAAATTAGTTGACGATGTAAGTACACGCATATATTTATCTATCAGTATTTGTTTTGCTGTATGTTGACATTCATTTATCCAGTTTAGCTGATCTGCTAAAAATATCTTTGTCAGGCGCATTGTATAACCCCACTCGACATATGGCCAGGCTTGCTAACTGTGCTTGATGATGTTAACATTAGTATGGTATAACGAGGCGCAATGGTTGTAGCTATGCTTCTGATACACATATAATTAGTTACAAAAAAAAAGCAGATTGTGTCTTCAGAATGAGCTATTAGAACGTGCGCTCCTGAAAGCTTAGTTTGTCATAACCTCTTCCCTTGTAAATGTTTTACTGAAAAATAGGCCATGATGGCATATAACATATGACAACCGGTTCAGCCAATCAGCTTGAAATAGTTCTGAACGTTCGTATCTAGTTAATCAACATAAACTCACAGACGCCAAATGGCATAGAAGAGAGCTAGAGGTATAACTAAAGAATAACGTTGACCTTACTTCTACTTGATGTGTATAAGTGGTCGAGTCGTCGTATGATTCTGTACAATATACTCGTATTGCTTTTGTAGCTACTAGCAAATGGCTAAATTTTATGCGCATGTGTAACCTGGGCATCTAGCAAATTAAATCTGAAAAGAGGTGACTATTTTTGAGAGAAGGTCCGGGTTAACGTCTCCCTTAGAGCCCGTTTCGATTTTTCTAACCTGCACACTTGGCCCTACAATATTATGCATTCTGCTTTCTATCACCTTTGTGGACCCACTTGTTGTAGAACTTAATCTTAGGGATGAACCTTACGCCAGTAAACGTTGGCCTGCTATATATCGGAGACAGGGATGTCATTGGCGGTCGAGGGACTGATTCGAGGAGGGTCGCTCACGCTATGCTCGACATCGCTAAGTGGATCGTCACTCGTGGAATATGCCTGACGGTCATCGTCTTTGTACGAACACCCCAGGTACGATTGGGCGCGAAAAATATGTGTTAGCACGGACGGCGCGAACAGATATGGAGTCACAGATAAATATCTTCGACTAACTTAGTCGATAATTGTGAAGTAAGAAAAATCGCTCGATCAAAAAATGAAAACGGCAAATACGGACGAGCAGAAACATTGTTCCAATTAGATTCTTTTTTCCTTGTAGGTAATGTTTAACGTATCCAAGCAATTATCTATTACGCAAACAGATCGCAACTTGTATTATTGATATTAGCTTTTTTGGCCGCTAGAAATATACACAAGTGTAGAATCGGAAGGGTTAAATTTGCAGGTGTCAACAATGCGGTAAGACAAACGATTTATAGGATGAATACGGAAGTATAGTAAATTCATTTACAGGGGTCTCACAATTTATCGCGGTTGTCCCTTAGTGTGATGGAGCTCAGCTGCACTCGAGACATACCACCTTCGGTGCTTGTCAAGGTTTGAGGTGTTCCATTCTGTTGATAGAATCGAAGCTAGCAGCAACATTGACTATTGCAGATAGGTTTCAAGCCATATAAAAATGGCTTGCTTTTTTTAAAGTCATCTTCATTTTAACACAAAGTCTATTGTGTTTCAAATTAAATTAAGAACAACTATAGGATTTTGGTATCGCAATTTCCATTATATTGAGAAGTTGACTTATGTTTAACTCATGTACTCTCACAGTATCCATTTGCTTCAGTCAAAATACAATATTAAATGCCTGCCGTACATCATGTGGTTATCAGTTAGCTCCGTTACCGGTCTCCTATGTAACTCCGCTCTAACGTAATTTATTGGCATGGCGGATATAGGCGATACCGAACAAGTGGGGGAGGCATCCCTGTTACGATGGTTCGGCCTATCTCACTGCGGCAGGAAAGTCGGCCGCCTCGATTGTAACGGCGCGTGCTCTAGGGCTTTTCCCGCCAAAGATCCAAAGACCGTTGTCCGTTGGATTAACCGTCCGGTCTGCTTCGAAAGGTGATATCGTTTCCGAGTACACAGATCACAAGCCGAACGCCAAAAGGCTATTTCCCCTGAACTTCGAACTTTGTGGACTAGCAAAACGGATCAAGCAAGAATCGTGACAAGCTTAAGTCAGCCCAGTGATGCCCAAAGTGTGCGTTTATATTTACCTATAGGTACTCACTGTGATAAGTAATATGCAAGCCAGGTATTTAAATTCATACAAAAATCGGTTTGCACAAACCTGAAAAAAAGAAAAGATTTGCGGTGCCGTATTCAGTTTCAGTATTCCGTTTAACTGTCGGAAGTAGTCTTGTCGTTGCTGTATGAATCTGGTAAAGAATGGCGCTATGTTTTAACGTATCAGTTGTTGTAAACCAGTTTGTGCCGAACGCGTGGCTTTTAGTTGTATTTTGTGTTTTTCGACGGATACGATATTAGTTTGCCCCTTTAGAAGTGTTTTACTTTGAGTCAGACGTAACATATTGCAACATTTTCAACTATCGTATTATAAGTACACAGATATCTTTATTAGAAAAATTATTTTTAAAAATGTCATAGGATAGATTAATTTATGAACACCTATAAAGTAAAGACTATAACGTTTTACGGTATTGTCTACCGAAAGTTTAGAAGCCAACAAAAAATATTTCTACTGTTTCGTCACAGTTGGGTCATCCTATGTACGTCTTAATCATATATGCAACCTGTGTTTTCTAGCAAACTGTTTTAGGTTGATCGGTAATAATTTAGAAAATGTGTATGTTATTAATCCTGCCTGGCGACTTTTGAAGAAATTCTCCTAACGTGTAAATAATAAACGATAATAATTATAGTAATTGTGACTTTGTTTGTCCTTACTGAAAAGTTACATTTAGATAGAAAAACAACAGTATGACCCAATAATTTAACGCAAAGACAAATGGACGTAGAAACACTAGTCCATGTATAGCTTACATTTCAACAATAACAGACCTAACAGGACTCGTTGTCTGGAGTAGTTGTTGCCTAACAGAAGTAGTCTGGCCATGCTGACCAAATAACTTACTGTATCCTTTATGAATAACAGATAAGTATTAAAGAACAACTATGAACGGTATCACTGTGTACAAAAATTGAGGTATAGTAGCATACAAATGATATGCCTTATTTTTTTTTTATTAAAAGTCAAAATAACGGGAATTTTGTTAGTAGTTATGAAAAAAGTACGCCAATTATCTATGTGCGAGGACATGCAGGCGGAGTATAGGCACTCTCCTTTTATTTGTTTAGTAATACATTTTTGCAGTTCTTTTTTGTATTTGTGTTCTTACTTGGCAATTCACTTTATTTCCATTAGTTATTTCTTTATATTTCTTAATAATCAGATAATATTATTCTTATTGGTTCTTCAGCTCATCAGGCGAATAAAAATGATCATCATCACATCATCAATGTGACGGTATTGTACACAAGCGCACATATGCGTATAGATGTGCAGAAGGTGTCCGCTCTTTGTTTTATATATATTGTGTATAATATTCCCTCGGTTTTCATTTTATTTGTGTAATAATATACTGCCTGTACTCTTAACAGGTGCAACCTACCTCATTTACGGTATGTTACACTTCACCAACGCCGTTCTATCTCAGATACCTACCTAATAGCTTGTACCTGCCCGGAATTCTTCCCGCTGCTTCCTTGTGCTTTATATATCGTTAACAAAAATAGTAAAATAAATTCCTGAACCTTTACCTACTTGTCCTTGTCCTGGCAGTCTTTTACTGCAGTTTTTGCAGAGTCAGGCAGGCATGCACACTCCAAAATATTTGTTGTTAGGAGGGGCCAGACATAGCTAAGGCATCGGTCAGAAATTGCTTTTTCTCTGCTTTAACCATCTTTTCAAAAACGTATAACACGCCTTGCCTGTCTTATCCACACCGAAACAGCGCGATCGATCACCCCGTTTACGCGAACCCCAGCCATATCATCGTCTACATCTACCCATCGCAATAGAAATAGTCATCAGCAATGATCTGTTTATTTTGTAACAGCTGTTGTTATTAGCGTAATCACAGACAACACACAAGTATCAACCGTTTTCGTTATTAAATACACACGAGGATTTACGTCCTACGTACCTACATCTTCTACCACGTGCGATCGACGTGATATTCGTTTTGCATTATTGGCATGTTGGTGTCAGCACCGAAAAAGTTTGACGGTCCTTGAAGATACTTGTATAAAATCAATACAAATATTTCTATCTTTTAACAAGCCACAATGTGTCTCTTTCGCGGAAAAATGCTGCTAGTTTGCTTCAACTGAGCGGTAAGTCGAGCTGATGCCAAATCAATATCTCTTTAGCAACGCAGCCTGATCGAGGTAACGACCACGCGTATTACCAATACTATCAATAACAGGTGATTCATTCGCCGAACAAAGTTTTACACCGATACCTCGTAATCATTTAGTCTTCTCGTTGGTCAGTGCGTGACGGCGCTAGTTTTCAGACCCGTATAGTACCCGATGGAAGTGCAAGGATCTCTATACCTAAGCCATTGCAAGACAGCGCACTGTGCAAATCTCTCAATGGACGTTCATTCACAGCACAGGTTTTGACGGACCTTGAGAAAACACACTTGCATCTTTACGCATTATGAACATGATTGAACGTTGAATCAATTGCACCCCATGTCGCATGCAGCGAGAGGGGTAGAGCATTTAACACTTAGGGATCACCGTGTTTGAAATCTACTAAAGGGCGACATACGACACAAGAATTCTATGAAAGGCTAGGGCTGTAATATTTGTATGGCTGGTTGGAAACGTGTACGTCGTTTTTAGGTTGGATGTGTTTTTATTAAATGTCACTGAGAGAAAAATATCATTTATCATTATTGGAACAAGGTTAATGTACGGGGAGGATTTTTACAGAATTTAGGTACGTATTTATCTCAATGTCATTATTGATACTATTACATATTAAAGTTACACCCATTTTGCAACAATCGTCTTAATCATTTAAGATCCTATGATTCTTCAAAAAATCACAATATTTGTATTACTTTCATAAGAAGGTCACTACGGTATCAAGCTATCTACCTCAATATAGGTATATCACATACGCACAATGATCAGATCATTAAAACAGATATTCGGGCTACGAGTTCCGATAGAACGAATCTATTTGCTTTTGCGACGTATTCATTTGACACGCCAATAAACTTTTTTGTTTAAATAAGGAGAAGCAAAAAAATATTAAAAATAACAACCAGCAAAACGTAAGAAAATCGTTATTCCTCTAGCGATTAGTCTAATGTTTCTATTCATCCTAAAAAGGCAAAAAAATTATGTATATAGGGTTATCTAAGTAAAGCCACTCAGTTTACTGTTTGTTTATCCCTGTGTATATTTCAATACAAATATGATATGAGAAAATATAGAAAAATGAATGAGGAGCATTTTCTTCACACACATTTCGATTCATTTCGACTTTCCGTAAAAAAGAGTTTTTAATCGGTGGGATTAACGGACGATACTAAATCAATCGAAGGCTAAAATACACTTCGAATTGCAATATTGTTTGACCGTATTGTTTTTTCGTCGTATGCCTCGCAACCTAATGGCTAGATCAAGGGGAACACTGACAACGGGATAAAACAAACACCTTAGGTGTAATCTCTAGGTGTCTATTGAATAGGTAAATACGATTCGTGCGGTTGCTCTACCAAGATGTTTGCCCTAGTGGCCCAAAATTGATCTAGAACGTCCGAAAGTTACTTGAAGCCTCAAACCGATGTACATCAGATGTTCATTAATACGCTACCATAGCTGTCTGAAAAATTCGCACAGCTTACATACAGCCCACGAACTTTTTAAACCAGATACTCCCAGCAGATAACCGGACCTCCCTCATTGCTCACGGTATGCCATGTCCGATAGATTGAACGACCTTTCATTGGGATTATTTACGGTAGAGCCTAACTATAACCTACAGGTTCGCATACAGTCCATAGTATCACATATGATCGATATTATGCACAGACATTTTTGCATTCGAACACTGGACGCCATCCGCCATTGATTGTCTAGAAAAACAGTGCCAGCGATGGCCAAACAGAGAGATACCGGTTATGTCTGGCACACCGGCCTTAACGATTTAGCGATATATGACTTTGTTCAAGTCGTTATTCTTGTTGTTCCACGACAGATGAAACCGCGTGCTTTTGATGAAGTGAAGCTACAAATACCCCAGAAATAAACCCGTTTAGGTGCCTCTATTTGACACGTTCGTTTGTCACAGCGATGTATCTGTCATCAGATAATATAACGGGTCGATAAACGCCACAATGTTTTCGCAACATAACAACACATTTCCAATAATCGTAAAAGCAGGAAGGGTAGCAGTATTTATTATTTGGTAACTATCTCAGTCATAAAAATTGTTAATCTGGTTGGTTTTTTATTGCGAATCGATTCGATAGGGTTCAACGGTAGCCAGTTCTCATCAGGTGACCACCCTAAAGACAGGGCCCATAAAACCGTGTGTTAGGTGTAAAATCTACAATTAATTGTTGTCTGTGTCTCTCTTTTGGCCCTATTGCATCAGTTGGATAACCTTGACGCAGATGATGCCACGGTTGAACTCTTGTCGTACCCAATCGCTTATTGTATTGTCAATTCCAAGACACTTGCAATTTCCGACAGTAACTCCCCCAGCCCCCTTCCGTAAAAACTGTTATGCGTTTACCCTATAGATTCAAGTGACAGGCGAGAGCCTGAAATATGGGATCCATATAATCCGGCATCTCATTGTGTCTCTTTCATCAATTCGTTTTTACACAGTGGTCAACACGACCAAACTGTACAGCTCAGCATATACACTCCGACGCACAGAAAGGCGCATACAGAAGACTGAGGATTGCTCCATGGTGCTTTGCCGTTTGACTAGCAAGACAGGAAATGCATGTTGCCAACACTTCCCCATAGCTTGTCTTGGCGCAGGACCTTCAGCCTGTGCTGGTGGTAATAGTTAAAATAATGACGCTAAATAGTCGGTGCGAAACACAACTAACCAACGAAGGTGGATCCTAGGTGGAATAGACATGGTGCTTTTGAAGACCTTTGAGGTCATTGGCTGTTTCTGGCGTCTCTAGCACTAGATCCTTAATTGCTAGTTGGTTTTGTTATTCTTTCAGTGAAGAATACAATGTGATACACATATAGCGATCTATGGTGGTTTTTAAAGTGTTGTCGACGTTACTGGACTGATTCCATGTACCATCAATGTGGGTGGCAGCTCTTTTGTCAGTATGGTAAGCTGCTCGAGGTAACGAAGTCGTTCCTTGTCCGAGGCGTGCCGTCCGCCCCGTTGAGGTAAATAGACGAAAAGGACCGCTGTACGTTCACTCTGCTCGCGCATCATCGCGTTACATTCCGTCAAATAGCTGTCGCTTGCATCCGCACCACCGTTTTCGACCTGAAATTATACAACAAATAGCAAATATGAGTGATACCGTCATGCTATGGCAACGCTGTCGTGCTTCATAAAACATTCGAGGCTAGCTTTGTGGTGTGGAATAGGTCGCGTTATGTAAGAACACTTACAGGATGTTCGTCATATTCAAACTGTATGGAAATTTTGTGATCTCATTAATGGATGCCGGGTCAGATGCCTGTGTTCGGGACTGAGATAGAACAGGCAAACACAACCGAACGTTGTCATTTTGTAGATTACATATACGATTTACTGTCACATGATGAATATAAACTGATTAAAAAGTTCTTAACGTAAATCTTACTTTTGTCAACTAACTATATATTGGTACCAACCGTAAATCTCACCTGTGTTGGCTGCTGTCCCCCTCCGCTGCCTGCATTGTTATAAAGTTTAGCTGTGATATGATCGTAGCGAACGGTGATAATTCGCGCATCAATCCTCAGCATGTTCAGCATGCTCTGCCAATGACGTTGATGCCTGGTAGTGTCGTCGCTGGCATCGGCAACACACATGAATATACGAATTATTGTATGTTTCTTCCAGCCAGGCACCATGTGAAGGATACACGCCAACTGCATAATATACATCCAGTTATTATCGATTGTCGTGACAGATGCGTTAGGCTTGAGAAAATCTACAGGCCAGACGTCGATGTGTAGCGGGTTAGATGACCGAACAATAACGGCTTTGTCCAGCTGCTGAAAGTGTCGGGCAAGAACGACATTTTTGTTCATGAAGTACATTGCGTCATCAACCATTTGGACGAATTCTAGTTTTGACAGACGGTCACTATCCGTTTCCATACTACGCAGTGACAAAAACGCACTTTTGCCATTGCGCACGTTCAGCGTCTCGAATCGATGTTCATTGAAGAAGTCACTGGGAACGGAGTCATCGTGAAATCCGAAGAGAATTGTGTTCGGCTTCATTGCACCGAGACCGGCAATCCGTACGAGGTGGTGCAGACCGTCAAGGACAGTAGGCGCCAGGGTGACTTCGACGAACGCTTTAACTCTAATTTTGTCAAGCAGACTTAACCACAGCGGATACTCCTCGAGCACCGGATCGATTGGGTAGTCTTGAGGTCGGCCCTTTTTAATGTGCCCAATAACGTACAGGCCAGACTTCTTGAGGTCGTTGGCAAACAAAATTAGCGGCAGCGCCGAACGCGGATTTGCGCACATGAGCAGAAACTGAGGTCTCCAATATTTCACGTGATCTTTGCGTGAGTCAAGCAGAAGGAGATATTTACGTACCTGCGCGAAGCAACGAGAATGGAATAAATGATGTATTGAACGTTTTTAGCAATGCTTACTTAAGATACAGCACTTAAATGCATACGGAATATGCGTATTCCTGGATTTGTCACCAGCTGTAGATATCATTTTGGCAGATGAGTCACATATTTTCATACTAAAGTTGCTAAGAAAACTTAGATGATAGTAATAACCGTATTACAAATAGATAATCAGCCTTTTTTATTGATTATAAGTCAAATGTATCTTGAGACCTCAATCATCGAAAAACCTGTCAGGCAGCTTGCGGATTCCCTTGCGGAATTATCGACCCTTTGAGTCATTTCCGGGCTACCTCGACTTTTGATAATCGTCTTCCGTGGAATAGATTTTTTAGTACCAATTTTAATTTCAATCTGTGCAGTCCGGCAAATACGCTAGAGGCTGAAAATTTTTTGAGCCTAGAGTAATTAAAAGGTTTTTTGCACTACCAGACCTGTATGGAGAGGGGTATTTTCTGTTTGCAACTTCCTTGACCAGTAAAGGTCTTTCATTTTTAATTAACCTGTCCAGTCTAATTAATTGACTTCTGCAATGTTCTGCATGGAATACTCGCGAGGTTTTAGAAGCACTCAAAATATTTATATATATATACATATATATATATATATATATATATGTACTGCACCAACCTGATGGAAAATAAGAGCCTGAGAGATGGAGCCCCAGCGAACCGGCGGTGAGCGTATGTGCAGCGCGATCACTAGCACAAGACACATGATAATAGCAATGGCTGCGTATAATGAAGATACAACAAACATCATTACGCCACAGCCTAGAAGGCCGCAGAACGCTGTTGCCCATGAAAAGTACTTGAACGATGGACGGAAATTCGGTGCCGAACTAAGGTCGAGGGCTAGGCAAGCCAAATTTGTTGACAAATATGATAGCAGAAAGAATACAGATGTGATTTGGGCTATTTCGTTGAGTGTCCCGATAAACAATGTGCACTGAACAATGGAGAATGAGACAAGCACAGCCAGCCAAGGGTTTTTACCTGTTATCACAGAAAATGATATCACATCATATTCACAGAGTAAAATGGCACATGTTAAATGAACGTAAATATCTTTACTCAAGTATCAAAACAAAAATCAAATTGAACGTCTTTGGTCTTAACAAATGAGGGGATACAAATTGTAGAGCTGTAATGCAACACTATGGTGTATATTTTATTTGCAACGTTATCTACGTAAACGGAAAAAAATTATTAACAAATATTGAAATGCCATATTTAATTTGAACGAAAATGTTTTTATGTATAGTATGTTCTTGAAAATTGTTGTTAAGCTTTGACATAGGACATTGGATGGAAATAGCTGCTGACTAAATGAAGAAGCTCAAATAAAAGCGACACAGTGATAAATGACGCAACTTAGAAGCAAGCTAAATGATTTGAGGAAATCTAATGGACACGAACACCTATTAAGTTGTTACATTTATATCCTAGTATTTGAATCGAGTAGTTATCATTATGACGCTTGTGTGGTAACGAAGCACCCCCCAGTTTCGATATATTCTACAAAACCTGTGGGAATTTTTTGAATGTTTTTAGCATAAACCTAGGCATACCGTTTTCATTATAATGTTTCCTTGGAAGTTCAAGAAATTAGTGATATTTTGTTTATAGTTCTCAGCTGACGAAAAAATACCATCGCAAAAACCGGAAGCCTATAAAGAATCGTTTTTGTGCTAAAAAAAAAAAAAACTCTTGATGAATACTAACGTAAGCTCGCACGCTTGCTTGTCGTAAAGATGCACTGGCAACAGCCACTTGGCCCAGGTATTTACTTTTATCTGATACACGAAAAAGACAATAGGAATCCATCTTTATAACATAAGAAGGTATATCATTTTTGGCCCCATACACAAACCTCTACAGTTGTGTTTTGCAACCGGGCTAAGTAACATGCCAAACAGTTCGTCCTTAGCGAGAGCCTCGAGCACACGAGAACTTCCAATTAGGTTGCTGAGTGACGCCGAAAATGTTGCTAGAAAGATGCCGAGTCCAACGAGTTGTGGAATGAAATCTATATACTGCATGTATATATAATTGTTTACGAGTAGGTCGTGGGTGCACGATGAGGCTGTCAACAGCATCAAAACAATATATGTAACGAATGTGAAGGACACAGCAGACAGTGTACCGTGCGGAATCGACCTCGCCGGATCTTTTAGCTCACCGGACATGTTTGCACCGGCCATAATTCCAGTCACACCTAAAACATCGAGAATTCGAAGAACATACAGTTAGAAAAATATCCTTAAAAATGTGCGCTCTGATCCACTCAACTGAATAATTATATATATGCAGCAACTAGTTTAGTGTTATCAGTATGCAAGCAATATGCACCACTGGTATATGTACTATAATGTATACCCTATATTATGCATACATAAAATCTGTGAATCTTCTTAAATAAGCTTTCGTTTGATCTAAATTCACATTACAAAGCACGCAGATATCTCTTACCGGAGAAGAGTACACCGAAAACGATAGCAAACGATGTTGTCGTGTAATTTTTACCATTCTTGCCACTAAAATAATCGAGACTGTAGTTCGACCACAAGTTGCTACCCAGAGTCGTGAGGCTTGGGCCGGTAAACAAGCCTGAGTGAATTGTCTGATTTATCTGGTTCTCTTCGGGGAACGGAATTAGCTTCGCGGACGAGAACATCATAGAGAGGGCCACAGAAAGTGCGACTACCATTACTGCGCCGAAGATGACTACCGTCGTCTTCGCGAATAACGCCGCTCCCACGAGACAGACAAGCAGATTTAGCACGTTCACGGATGTGCCGTACAACAGATTCCACCAATAACCCTCTTCAAGGATCTTTGCCACGCTACCTAGAATCGGACCGTTCGAGAAAAAATTAGAAGACAGGTTTTTATTATGAGCATTTAAGTACAGCCGGTGACAAACTTACCAGATGGGCCGAAGTTGTTAACCAAGCCTTCGACGCAACCGAAAATGTAAAGGCCTGAGGAGAACACGTTGGCGATAAAAAACAACGTTCCAATGGAGCCTCCAAATTCCGGGCCAAGTGCACGACTTATCATAACTGCACAAAAACGAAAAATGAGCACGTGAAGAAAAAGGTTGAATATAAGAATATCACGTCAAAGTCTCTAAATTATTATTATTATTATTATCAGCATGACCTGAAGCAGTGAAAGCTGTTGCTGTTCATCGATCGATACTACAGATTAGGTAGATATAATATATATAAATAAAATAAAAAAAAATACATAGACAAAGAGCTATTTAAGAGGAATCACACACACACACATATTATATAAACCAGAGGACAGTCTTCGATAGGTTAAGCAAATCGAGCTGTGTATGCAATTTTTCCTAGCTTTTTAAAAGGTCATCAAAAAAAAAAACCATACTCACAATATGCGCCTCCACCCTCAACGGCTCCGTTTGTGGAAACAGCACAGATTGAAAGAACAGTAAACACTAACACTCCGTAGGCCACTATCATCTCGAGAATGCATTCCATTAGACCTGAATTCCCTATCAGAAAACCTAGTTGTACCAATGCACAACAAACAGCGTATGGAAAAGCACAAATCAATTACCTTAGTTGGCTAATTGTTAAGTAAAAGTGACGTCGTTTGCTGGCTCATGAATAGTAAACCTAACTATCAAAATAAGCATTAATTTGCGATAACTTGAAATATCAAATATGCCGAGAGCAAACACACAAAGGCAAGCACAGAAGCGGATACGAAAACAGTCGTTTATTAACCTATTGGAAAGTTTCATGTATCCGGCACTGTTTAGTAAATTCCTGACAATAAATAACATAAGTGAGAGTTAAGGACCAACACCTTCGTCGGGATACAGCATTCTAACTACGCTACTAAGGCTCACGCTTCGTGTAGAGAATAATCTCAGGCCGAAACCCACCAATTCGCAAAAATAGAATTGCACTGAACATCGATAGGCATACGGGTGTAAAGACCCCCGAGAACGTGTTCAGCTTCCGTGCAGAGGCCGGTTCCTCGACCAATGGCAATGGCGCGGTAAGTGAGTCGCCATTGACTTGAGCTCCGGCACCAGACAGAGACCTGCAAACGGTGAAAAACAAACGATTGTTAGGTGTAACAAGATGACCTCCTCCATCATTAACATGGCGACATATTTCAACGGATAATATACATGAAATGCTGCAAGTTTCACAGTACTGAAGTGTGAATGTTTATTGGAATGGAAACAATATAGCTATTAGAATCAATACATGTTTAGCCAACTTTTATTATCATTATTAAAATTACAAGGCGGACATTTTTTTCACCGGATTACTGTAGATACTATCATAAATGGTAAAACACAGTATCATTAAAGTAGATTTTGACCGAATAGGCAATTTCAGACACTTTCATCACCCAGCTACCTCCGTAAACGAATTCCATTACAACATGCTCCTTGTTGTTTATGAATAAAATACATATGTGATGTAAAAAGTAGATTTTTAGTAATAAATCAAACAAACTAGCGCAGAGTTATACCTCTCAGCAAAACGCTCTATTTATGGTATTTCAACAGCAGTCATGTTACTGGAATTATAAATCTGGTCCTGCTCGTGGAACAGGGTTCCTCTACCCATCTATATGACAAGTCGCGTTAATCCGTTCCAGATGTCAGGTTATCATCAAAGTAATTGTAGTACAGTCCCGACTCTTGGAAGAGACTTGGTTTGATGAGCTCGCGAATTTTGCACTAGGCAGTGCTAGCTGCCGATAACGCTTCCGCATCATGGATTCAAAAAGAAAAATGTGAAGTAATGCCGGGGCTAAGTGCTCTGGTTGAATACTACGCAACTTTGAGTGGGTTGCGATAGAACCATGAATAACTACAAGCATGCCAACCATTGCTTGTTCAATTTCAGTGTCGGCTGATGATAACAAAATACTTTTCAAAAAAGAAAAAGAAATATAAGGAGGTATGTTGAGCAACTACTAAGTTGGTTACCTTATGTGTATTACTGGGAGGTAACTCAATATAGGTTCAGCAAAACGCCTTCGGCAAACTTTTCAAGCAATCTCAAAACACGGTTTTTTAGACTTCCGAGGGTAATTTGCTGCAGGAGAACAGCTCGAAATGACTTGGATGTAACCGAATTTTGTTGTATCGTAAGGGTAGGGTTTCATTTACCTTCAAAACACCGGGCTAATTCACATAATATAATGGATCTATCTGGACGTAAATTAAGCAGCTTTTAGCGTTCGTAAGATGCGCATGACTCTGTTTTCAAAAAACTTTTTAGGAAATTGTTCCGTATGTAAGCATATCAACACGACAGATTTAAATTTTATTATTTAAATTTTTATCGCATTGTTTCATTCCTCACCTATCTATGTATCCTCTCAAGCTGTTATTGTTGATGTAGCTAAATATCAGCGTGCTAATTCCGTATAATTGAGTAATGGACGCCGAGAGGCAATGCTAGCGCTTCGATGTAAAGATATTGACAAACTGTTTCTCTATCCGTAATTTGAGGTACAAAAAATCTCGCTACTTTGCAATAGATATTTAAGCCTTGTGAACGTAGAACCATTTCTCTCGGTCTGGTTTTAATATTCTGTAAAAAGATAGGTAGAAATTAAGATCTCATGACACATCGTTATGTAGTATATTTAGCTACTTAGAAAAACTACTAGATTTATTACTTACGAAGTTAATAAAACCAATCAATACATAATAACTCTCTAATGGTTAATCAGATGTATTAGGAGAAATCAGGCAAAACTCAAACTAGAAAACACTAAGTGAACTACTATTTATGAGGAACCTATTTTTGTTATATATTTATATTGTATTAGTGTGTCTATGGTGCGTTATCGTATGAAACTAGTTTGACCGATTTAGGCGGCATCTAGTAACAATTTCCTTGCCCACGACAGTAGACCCGATTGCAAAATACAACGAAGTGTCTATTGATTTTCCTGACTCTAGAGCGAGCTGTGCGCCGCTAATTTAACATAGGATTTAATACTTAATATTAAGTAGGACAATAGATTAATAGAATGATTATGACATCTGTAGTTCAGTGGTTGAAACAATACGAAATAACGTGTCCAGCTAAGTCTGTGCTAATCTGTGCCTACGGTCTTTGATGGCAAAGACCGTAGGCACAGATGCTAACGTCCCATTGCAACAACTGGTCCAAGTACATGCGTCTGAAGTCTACAGAACGATTATTCCAGATAGCTTGTCTTGCAAGTAACTATCATTATGAAAAAGGTATGTTTTCCTTTAGCTCGGCTGTAGGCAGCTCGTCTGAGCAGACGATAGATTTAATAGCACTGGTTTTTTCGTTTATAAAGCAATATTCGATTGAGTAACAAACCTGACAGCGGGCGTATTGGTGCGGTTAGGGTGTAATTTTCTAGGTGGAAACCCAGCCATTCTGCCAATGCTCGTTAATAGTTTTAGCGAGGCTAGTTTTGCCGGCTGTGACAAAAGGCACAGCATTACTGTATACTAGTGGACGCTTTCAACTTCACTGGGCTTGCGACAAAGTGACAGCTATTTTGAAAGTCGATTGATCGGTATCGGATGTGTTGCTAGAATCAAAATGTTGGAACAGATGTTCCTGTAGAATTACCGTTTACTTGAAGCAAAGTTGAACAAGATTCCAGTTACGTACATCCAGATTGACGTAATTTTCTGGACTTGTTCCCACTGCCATTGTAAATCCGGAGCTAATACCGAACTTAGCAAACGAAATGAATAAATTATAGTATCTACTTATTTTAGCTAAGAATGCCACTACGTTGAACACCAACTTCTCCAATTACCGGTCAGAAAAGAGCTGGATTTTCTTACATTTAACATCCAGCCCAGAGAGTAACTTAATTGGCGTATCCACGTAACAGCTGGCGAAAACTTGGGAAATCAACAACCGGGGAAACAACAACAACAACAAAACAACGAAACCTACGGCCCATTTGTCTCGTAGTAAACTTCCTATTGTACTTTGTTTCGGCTCGGTTAAACCACCGTCGTCAGGTGTGTAAAAAATAGAATCAATAATACCATTCTAGTTAGCTTATCAAAGAATGCCAAAGGAATCCTCCTCCTCCGATTTTGCGAGAGGCTTAATCGCAATATTCTAAAAGCGGGCTACGTAGTTAATAACTGGAACAGCATTACGTAAATAATCCTGTGCCCACAACTAGATTAGGTGAAGTAGATTTGCTTTTAATTAAAACCAGTTATTAGGGTACTAAAAACCAAGTGGAAAGAGCCTTTAGTGGGAAACCCTTGTTCTCCTAGGTAAGGCCTCCTGCATTAAATATTCGTGCGCAACCTTGTCTTAAATAAAAGAACTTAAACCGACATCACTTGGGAATTATTTCCACTATTGATCCAATCTGCCACTCCGCTCTAGTCAACTATGTAATATTAACCAAACTTCAGTCATTACAAATCAGCAATGCTATAGATCATTGTCAGGCTTGAATAGTATCAATATTTAACCAGGCACTGCTTCCGACTTCAGTTTACTCATAACTAATGCCCATAGACCGAGTGGAGTGAAAAAAACTGATTTCGATGGGGAACCTTATTGCAGCCTAAAGCATATTCGATCGTAAAATCATAATATCTGTTTCATTTTGAAGAGAAGCTAAACATCTGTTTAACCAAACCTTCGAAACAAGTTATGTAGCATCATATTATATAATATTACTACATAATAATCGTTTGAGCTAGACAAATTTGATTCCTCTCCCGTAACATAATTATTATGCGAAAAAAACAATGTTACAACAACAACAGCAATATCTACAGGTGTTTAATATATTTGCTAGTCGTCAAAGATTTTCATTTAATTGTTGTAGAAGGTTAAGCGTTTTGTCTTGTGAACACAGTAAGGTTGAAAAATACTCTTTATTTTAACTGCCAGGCCGTAAGAGTCGTATCCTTAAAGCAACAAGTTCTGAGCGACTGCGCAGGACAGTCATAATTTGCCGGTTGATTCGGATACTGGAACTCCCTATCCCCGTACACCTCTAATTGGTTCGTACGACAAAAAATATTCAACTTAGATGCGCGTGCCTCTCTATATAATTGGTAAATTTTGTCAGATTCGCATCTATAGGATACGCGCATTTGCTGAGGGGTGCAATAAATCACACTGGATACGCGTTTAATCTATCCAAGACTATCGGCTTGCCCCAATCATTGCTTAGATCCAGCAGTCTTTGTTTGCAGACTCGTATCGATACGTACCGATATCGTCTTTATTCACGACGAAAGGCGTACGCGAAGGAGAGATATAGTTATGGTAAAATAAATAGACCAGGTTACTATTCAGTGACACTGGTCCTTGTAAAGTGGTGTTCTTGATTCTAAGCAGCGCAACTGATTAAACTACGGTGGTAACTCTATCGGAACCCGTTCGAAACGATTTCTCAACACTTCTTTTATCAGATTTAGTCTTGATTCACAAATGAATCAAGTAAAAATCTTCGCCGATAGGAAATGCTAAGGTATAAAGACAAAAGCATACCCCAATTCGCGTTTTGGATGCACCATTATTACATTTAGCCGCTGCTTAAACAGACGAAACTGATAGCTATTCCAGAGAGTATCTGCCTGTAATACGATTGGGTGTCCGCCAAAAAACTATTTCAGACATAAGTTTTCGGACTGGCTTTGTTCAAAATCGGGCTTTATTTAAATTAACAACTTATTTCGAAACGTATTTCTGAATTATGAATATGGATGTGGTTTTACATTTTATTATTGAACTGGTGTCAATTATTCATATAAGTTGCCGCTGAATGTACCCCTACCTGTCTTTTGAGTGTATTCACAATTATGTCTGTTACTGAGACATCACAAGTCTGTTCTCAGTAGCATCTCCATTGGCGTACCCACCTTGAATAATAAACTATCGTAAACAATAATCCATGGCAGAAAAGTCATATACTACACTTCGGCCTTGGGATCATTACAATGAGAGTTTCCACCAGTGAGTGAGTGAGTGATGTCCTGTCAGTGTTGTTGACGTTACAAATACAAACTCACCAGGCCTACTCGAAAACGATCCATAGTAATAAGCTTTGATATAGAATGTGTAGCAAACTCGCGTATGGTCAATTCAGGCGACAGTAATTTGAGTACATAATAGGTTCCATTTCACTTCACATAATTTACGTAATACGTTCTGTTGTATAAAACGTATTTAAGTAAGTGCAACTCTTACCTTGGTAGAAAGTCTGTTACCGGCACATCGCAGTCCTCGATCATACGGTTATAATACATGAGGTCGGTTTTAGATTGTAACGTTGGCGCAGAAATCTAGGATCATTCGTCTCAAGATCGGCAGCTAATTCACAGTCGAGTCCAGCACCGTGTTCAGGACAACTCTTTACTAAAAATATCTACATTATCTTGGTAACATAAGCAACCTAGACATCAATGAATTTGATTAACCAAGTCATTTAGTTTTCTTAGGGAACGATGCGAGCCTCATTTTATGTATGACCAGGAGTCTCTGAACTTTCCGGGCGGGTCAGTGGACCCCGTCTATGTCGTTTAGCAAAATACGCAGTCGATTTAACAACAATAGTTAGTCTGCAAATGAACCCAATCCGCGCCTTATTGGCTATCCTGTCTAAACAGCAACAAGCCTCTGATCTCTGGATTGTTGCCCTTATAGAAGCACGAAGTACGATGCACGACAACTGTCACCAGCCCAACAGACGCTTGCCGTTAGTTGAGGCCACTGCTACGTGAGGCGGAACAGACAAAAAGATTAACTTGAAACCGAGTGGTCGCCGATGTAAGTGGATAAGCAGTTCGCAAGTCGTTCTCCTCATTAACTCATGGGACCTTTAACGGTCAGAGTAAATGCTGATACCAAATGGCCGCCACATCACATTGCAATATATTTCTGTGCGTCTATGGTTTCGTTACCGCAACGATCGTAGTATTGTCGCTAAGCTCGGCTCTTTTACGCTGCGGTCACAAACAGTATAAAATTGCTTTGACTCGATGATTTACTTCGGACAAAGCTGTCCCGCGACGTCAGGTAGAAGGGTGGTATCAACCAACTAATCAAGTTTCCTATAATTAAAAAGTTTACGGTAAGTTATATCTATTGGGGTAGGTTATATCTGGCTTAACCTGTCCTCTCACAAGGTACCGAATCGGAGCGACTACTAGTAATGTTTATTACAAATTAGAAAAATCGTTGCACATTGATACGGCTAATAATCTAAAAGCTAAGATAATAGTATACGACAACTGATGGCTCGAAGCACACCACTGAGAAGTTCTTCGAGACAGTTGAACATCAGATGGCGCTCCAATTGTGGCTCGATAATGAATGCCACAGCTCTATCGATAACAAGACGCTTCTGACAACAGTGTAAGTAGCAAACAATTAGGGTTCTAAATGACTAATATAAGAACAATACAAGAATACTCGACTTTTATGACCATTGATAGAAACCTACTGCATGTGAAGCCAACACAATTACTAGCTACACCGATACACAAATCGCAGATCCTGATACACACAGATCACAACCGAGCAGCTAAACATATACTAGATTGCAATTAGATCGTATGCGAACATATAGTCGGTGCCGGGCAAGGAAGACGGGCCCGAGTTGCAAGCCATTGCTTTCTCTGCTGTCTATCCACCTGTCACCTGTATGGATAATAACACCCTAAGGCACTGCAAGCCAAAAGGTTGTAGAATGCACCCATTGCGATATCGGTATAATTTGAGCAGCAAAAGCAGTAACAACCATTATTCACGGACTCAGCAATTAGCTCGTAAATCAATGCTGTGAATCACTATCGCTGATGACCACGTCAATCAATTTTTACCGCGGGTCGCCGATCTTCTGATTTTGGGTTCCCTGTGTGCTTCCTGCTTAAACGGGTCTAGCACATGACAACTAAATTCATCATCATTACTAGACACAAATAGGTGTTAACACCGAACACTAGCTTCTCCCTTTCGAACGGGTCGCTGTCTAGGATCTCATCTATTGTGCTCCATCAACGATTATCCATCAAATAAGTACGGCAGCCACATCTTCGTTGCAGCCTTTGTTGTCCGACTTGCTACCTGTAAACGCTGATTGTTTCATGGCTGTATTTGCATGCTAGGTGCTTGTGCCAACGATAGCTTCGTGGAAAAAGTAGGCATAGCTTATCGGACTCTTAAGAACCTAATCTTGCCTATTGGCGCAGCAGCTTCCCAGTTCCATCAAGAGCTCCGCCGTCCCAGACTAACTACACAATGGCCCTTTTGGGGGACACTGGATGCAATAGGTCTTTAATTACCTGATACTGGACGCCACTCGCGCCCTTAGTGAAGGAAACATAGAGTGATACTACGTTATATGCTGGCGCCTAGATAAAATCTCGTTGGTGTCTTTCAGTAACGTCATGGATAATTGAGATGCCTGATCGTATGATTTCATTCGCAATAACGCATCAAATATAGACAAACCAAAACACGAATCATTGTGACTGCTATTCTGACACAATTAACCGTTAGTTTCTATAGCTTCGCTGTGCTTTATACGTGATTAGTTATTTCTGCAGGATGATATGCATTTGAGAACACGGTATGGATGTCTTTTTATCGATAGAAATAATGTGGGCGTTTAAAATGTTGTATCCAAATCGTACCTAAATAATAATAATCGGAAGATACTAGCTAAAGTTTAGAAGAAGCCTCAAATGGTACTTCAGTTGAGCAGAAATTCTTTATTAAGGAAACCGGATCATGTTAAACTCAAGCCTACCGGTAGCTGTTGTCTAATGATTGCAAGTTACTTGAACATAGTCAAAAAACATTCTATGCACTTGCATATTATTAAGTTCACTCTCTTATTATTACCGCAATATATTAACGCAAATATTTTATAGTCCTATCGGTCCTATAGGTGGACAATGAAGTAAGCAAAACATTATTTGTCTTTGTCTACATGTACCTAAACGCTCACCTGCAATAAATTTTAAGCAAATGTTATTAAAAATTTAGCTTAATCATCCATTCTACACCCTGTTACTGCAATTTTTTTTTGTCATCGTCGCGTGGATTCTTACATTTACATGTAATCTGAGCACAAAGCTTGCCTTCTTATCCTGTATTTGTGGCGGTATAGTCTTATCTGCTACGAATATCTGAAAGCTGAGCACATTTGTACGAATTCGAACTCGTGTTATACGTGTATTCAACTTTCTCGAGGTAGGACAGATTCAGTCTCAACACTCGAAGGCAACCAACGGTCCGTTAGTCGTAAGCAATTGTTGTACATTCGGAACTGTTTCTGTCTGGGTTAAGTCGACCATCACATTCATTTTCCGAGTTCGTCGACAATCGCCGCAGGCAACGGCCTATTGTTCTTTTACAATCTCGAACTATTGCTAGAGTTGTACTTAGGAATCTAATGCACAACGATTGCGGCAGCACAGCTTTATACAGTGTACGTGGACCACTTCAGTCTCTTAAAGCTAACTTCCATTCGAATTAGAGCTCCTGATGAGGACTAAGGGAAAAAGCTGAAGGTCATTAGTGTCGCGGTTATCATTATTATATGATTACTGTTTGTTTTTGTTATTTTTATATCATCCTGATTTAATGAGCACAACGCGTGATAATGCTATTTAACAGTCGTGACCGGCTAAAGAGTTCCAACATCCCCAGTAGCAACACAAGAAGCAGGATATGCTTAAAAGAGCGCGGCTGTATCCTTAAAGCATCATGCTCATCGTTATTATTAACAGTAATATTAACGTACAGCGAATCATGTATTACAAGCCGGCGTCATCAATATGCATTATTTAAGACTAAATTCAATTGAAAGAGGCGCATTATAACTGGAACTGCGCTGTCGTACCAGCTGGGTGGGAAGCATCAATAGTGGACGCTGAGTGCATGCGACAATTACTTACAAAAGGTCTTTTTTTTTTTTCACTATGATTAGTTATGTGTACTGCGTAAAACGGATACTATTATTTAATATTTTGACAAGCGTATGTATTTTTTTTGCAAATAATTGCAAATATGACTGATCCTATGATACAGTTTGACTGAACGCCGTGCTTCAAAGGCCGTTATGCGCATTTTTGGTCCAATCACCAAACATGAGATGTTACATCTCGTAACATGTTCGGTAATTATAATAACTTTAAACCGCTGGCCCTATATTCAGCTATTCAGTGAATCTATGCCAAAAACTGACGACCTGGATAACGATCGACAAAGTGTTTATCGCCTCAAGTTTTTCAGATATAAACCAAATCGTATACCTACCTATAATGAAGGTATAAAGCCTTTCGAACATAACTAAATCATTAAACTGTACTCTCATTAAACTGTAAATGACTATAATACTACTGCACTATATTGTTAAGTCTACGGAGGTTACACGAGTGATACCGAAATTTGATGTCTGTTTAATAGAACTAATAAACAGTCATTGTCGTCAAAGGTCGAAAACGACAGTTTCTAATAGCGCTAAAAGAACAGCTAAACGTGTTAGAAAAGTCATTGTTTAAGACAACCGCTATGCACCGCAATTCTCAGGCGACCCATCCTTCAATAGTCGAACTTGTATGGGCCGATGGGCCATCTTGTTGGAAGTCTTATGGTCCTTTGGACACTTCAGTCATCGATAAACACACAACGGTTCGTAGAACGTGCAGGTCAGCTTCTCCAGCGATGCGTATATCTTCCTGGAAAAAGTAGAGCGGCATCACACTACAATGGACACCGCACGTATAACATGAAATTTGGACGAAAATCTTGCTCCTACCCACTAAAAGCCCATGCACTGCATCGTGAGCAAACCAGCGACCATTTCTGCGGTTCATTTTTGCATCGAAATAAAAATTCTCGTCAGAGAAGAATTGGAAACGACCTCCTGCTTTATTTTTGAGGGAATCGAGCAACAAACCGATCAAATTTTGCTTCTGTGATACTTTGAGAGCATCTAGGTGGCCTTTATGACATGCGACGTGTACCTGAGGTCTTCGTATCATTTCGAATTTCTTTGATAATGCTATGATCGAAATAGAAGAATCGTTAAATACATTTTTGGATGGCGGCGGTGCACAGTGAAAAATCGCCCGGCACGTAGAAAGTGGGTAATAGAGCTGACTTCCACACAAATTACGAAAACGACGAGAACGACGCACTGATATTATAAATATTGCTCGCAATCACTTCTGTTATATAATAGTACCGAGAGTAGCGGATGAACGCATGACCACTACAACGAACAACTCGCCCAGATTATCTCAATTCAGGTGCCGTATATATAAGGGATAAGACCGTTGGTCAGAGAATCACAAAATATCGCGTCCGAACTATCAAACGTTTGTTTACATTCTGAAAACTATGTCATTGATATCAGCCATGCTGCTTCTACGTAGCATTTGCGTGGCCTCCGTGCGTCTGCGCCGGCGACTACATGCACGACCGTTTAACGCGGCTACCACTATTAACGGTTGACCCTGGGGCTTGCGTTTTATACCAATCCTGTCCCTAATTAGCTTGTCTCGCGGTGATCTAATCCGTGACTAAAGCATTCTCATCCCAGTGTGGGCATGACCGGTCTCCAGATCTGTCACACTCACAGGCTTCGTCGGGTCCGAGCTTCATCACCACCACTATGAAGTACTAAATCGTTGGCTGGGAGTTGACAATTTAACTAGTGGCTGGGGGTTTCATACATTAACCGCGTCTGAACTAGCAGCTGTTTCTTGTTTGTAACATATATTGTACAACTTTTACAATATATTATAATCTACAATATGTATTGTAAATAGTAAACAGCTGTTAGTTTAGACAGCAGTCGGCAGCAGTATTTGGTAAGATGCAGATGCTCGAACGAAAGCACAGTTTACCAAAAAACAGGCCTCGCATACTGGCCGTATATTACAACTTTTTTAAGATTTGTCCACCTTGGTACTAACTCAATCCGTTGAATTACGAATTCGAATACCTTTTTTGCCATCTCCACCTAAAGTACGTTTTTCTTTTTACTACTTTTACCTGTTTGTGGGTTCGGAAATTTATCTTTGACATCTTTTTATTTAGTATTTATATGGTCCTTAGCGTCTTGTTTTTCAACTCGTCTTCAATCTGTCTGTATTTCTATCCTCACTCCCGATTTTTGCTTGATTTCATTAGTTTGCTTCAGTTGCGGCCTGTCGTGTCACTGCCTGTGTGTTTCATTAACTAGTTAGTGAATGTTCTGGGGTGCTTGGTCTCCACCACGTGACCACTTGATCTGAGCACTTGTTCGTTCATCTCATCCTGGCTGCTCGGTTTGTCTTTCCTATGTCGTCATGAGTTGTCGTTCCCGCATCGCCGCCAGGAATGGCCCCTACCGCAAGTAGCGCTGATCATTGCAATCCTGGCGTTACTCTACCATCTGTACTACGGTGTTTGAGTAGCAGCATTGACCAGCGTACGGCTTCGAGTGTGCATCGTCTTCGCAGCTGACGTTGCCTGCTGATGATGTCGGTGCAACGGTAACTACTGCCGCCATCCATTCGGTATCGTCTTAGGCTATCACTTCTGCAACAGCTAGAACTACCACTACTGTTGCCAGAGCGGCTACCGTTGCTGTCTGTTTGGGTTCAATAATGAAAAGAGCGTGGGGTCTTCTTCCTTTCCAGAAGCACAATACAAGAACATCGAAAATGGGACCTTTGGTCAAAACAGTGGCAAACTTTAGTGCAAACGCAACGCAATGCAGTGCAACGATGCTAGATAGGTAGGTAGGTTGTTAGCAGATATTTTTACCCCGCAAGAATAAAAACAAAAGAAAATAGTTCATTTTCAGGTTAATCCACTAGAGGTAATATAAAGGCAGATCGGTCAAAGGCAGGAAGACAACGA